TTTATTTATAAATTATAATAATTTTATTATTTAATCAAATTTAACTTATAAAATATATATGTAAATACAAAAACATAACGCAAAATATTATATTAAAATATAACATTAAATTATAACATTAAATTATAATTTAAATCTATTTTTAATGCATATTTATTTACATTAATTATTAATTATAACTAATATTTATTTTTTTATATTTACTTTATTTATATATCACTTGCATTTTATTTTTAACTATAACTTTATAATCTTTCCGTAAATATATCCGTAATTACAAACATTTAAAAATATACCAGTAATTTATAAAAAACTAAATTATTATAAATTATTAAATACTTTTATAAAATATTCTTTATCTAATAAACCAATAACTTACTAATAAATAAAAAAATAAACAAAAATCTTTTATTTATTAATTATATTATTTAACTTAACCAATAATTCTTATAATAAAAACTAATAATATTTAACTTTTACCTTTTTAACAATTTTTTACAAATACATATAACACAACATTTCCGTTATATTAACTTTTTAAATAATATCTTTTTAAATTAAAACTAAACTATTTTATAAATATTATTTCTTATAATTAAAAAAATAAATAACCAATTTTTAAATATTATTTAATTATAATTACAAAAATAATAAAATTTATTCTTAAATTAAAACATTATTAAATAAAAACTTAAATAATTTAAATTATAATTATATTTATTATTATTATTATAAATTACGTTTAAACTTTTTAAACCGCATTTTACCGAAATAATATTACTCGCATCGTTATTTACATTATTTAAAAAAATATTTAACTCTTTATTTAATAATATATTATTTACCTTTAAAATTTTTATTATTAAAAATTTTTAATATATTTTAATTACAATTTTATTTAAATTATTAATTATTATCGTATTACCTTTTTTACCAATTAATATTATAACTTTTAATAATAATTTAAATATAATTTTAATATAAAATTACCCTTTAAACGCAATTATTTTAATTTCGAAAACTTTAAACGTATAAATATTATTATTATATAACTAAATATTAATAATATTAAAACAATTTACCTTTAATTTATTTATAATTAATTACTTAAAATTAATATCTTTATAAAAAAAAATAAAAAATCCTTTTTTTTTATTTATTGCTATACTTAAAACACCGTTTTTAACAGCTTTAAAATTTAATATAATTATTTTTTTATTTAAACATATTTTACAACCTTTTTATATAAAACATTTACATATTTAATAATTAATTTTCTTTTTTATTTTGTTTTAACTTTAAATACATTTTATAAAAAACTTTAACATATTTAAAAATAAATATAAACTTTTAAATTAATTAAATAAATATTTTATTTAAAATAAAACATTTAATTTATATTTCCAATTATAATTAATAATATATAAAAATTTAACCTTTTTTTCTTTATTATTATAATAAATCTTTTAAAACGTAATTTTATTTCAAAAAAAGTTTTAAAAAATATTATATAAATAACCTATTATTTTATATACTTAAATATTTTCCATAATATATTATAACAACTTATTAAAATTATTTTTATTTATTTTTACATATTAATAAATATTATATATAATAATTACTTTAATAATAAACTTTTTTTTATTATTTTTAATAATTTTAATATATAATATAAATTTAAATAAATTTAAATATTAAATTTAAAAACAATAAATAATATAAACTATATTAAATATTAATAATATTAATTAAAAATTTATTAAATTTTAATATATAATATTACAAATATAAATTTACTTTTATCCATTTATTTTTTACTTAATAAATCTTAATATATAAATTTAAAATAAAAAAATAAAAGGATAAATTAAAAGTAAAATCCCGAAATAAAGTTAAAATTTTAATTATAAAAAATAGTTAAAAAAAATAAACTATTTATTATAACTATTATATTATTATTACTAATAATATTACATTATTACATACCGTTATTTAATTTTATATCTTTTTTAAGTTTATTACATTTTCTTTTATTTAACTTATATAACCGTTAACTTTTTTTACTTTTAATAATTAAAACGTTATTTATATTTAAATTAAATAAATTTTATTATACCAATACCCAAATAAAATAAATAATTATATTATTAAAATTATTAATTTTATTGTTTATTAAAAACTTTATTTTAATAGTAAAAATATTTAACGCATTAAACAGTTTTTTTAATATAATACGGTTAATTAAACGTTTTTTAATAATATTATTATTATTTATTATATAATTTACATGCGTAATTTATAATATTAAAACATATAAATATTTAAAAAAATTTATTATTTTATTAATTTTTAATTAAAAAATTATAATAATTTAAATAAATATTATAATTTTTTAATTATTATAAATAAATATTAATTTATTATTATATTCCTTATAATTTATAATATTATAAAATAATACGTTATAAATTTAATAAATGTTTAATATTTTTTCCTTATTTTTATAAATAACTAATATTTATAAAATATAATTAATATTATATTAAAACTTTATAATATTTAAAAAAAAAAATGTAATAAAAGTAAATAATTAAAAAATTAATTAAATTAAATTAATTATTAAATACGTAATAACCTTAACTTTATATTTTAAAAAAGGTATAAAATATAAATAATTAATTATATTTATTAAAAAAGGATTATTATATATTATTAAAATTAAAAAAATAAGCCATAAATATTAAAATTAATTATAATAAAATAATTTATTAAATTTTATATAATAATTTTATATTAAAAATATTTTATTTTTTAAAAAATATTATTAAATTATTATAAAAAATATTTAAAAAATTTTTATTTAATATTTATATAAATTTTGCCTTTATTTGCTAATTTTGCCGTTAAATATTTTATAAATGTTAAAATATTTACTATTTTATTTTTATTTATAATAAAAATATATATTAAATATTAAAATAATATTTAAGTAATAATTAAATTTTTTATATTATTAATTAAAACGTTTATATATAAGTTTATTAATTATGTTTTATTAGTAAATTTTGAAAATTACGCAAGTATTTTTAAACGGAAAATTTATTATTTTAAATTTAATATATTATTATTATTTATAAATTTGTTTTAGTTAAAAAGGTATTTATTACCGGTTAAATAATAAGTATTTAATAAAAGTTTTAGCGAAAATTTTTTAAAATTGTTATTATTATTTTTGGAAATTATTTTAAGATTTTTTTTAAAATAAATTTTAAAGCGTATTTATAAGTAATAATAATGTTTTCGATTAAATGGATATATTATATATTTAATTAAATATTTAATTAATATTTAATAAATAATTATTTATTATTTTTTCTTATTTTTTAATAGTTTTAATAAATTTTTAATTTTTGCATAATTATTTTTTTTATAATTATTATTAAAAGTTATTAAATATTAATTATTAATTAAATATTTAATAAATAATTTAAAATTATTTATATATAAAAATATTTTTTTTTAAAATTTAATTATAAATAATATAAAAAAGTTTTTAATTTTAAAAATATTATAAAAGTGGTTATTTAACCAAATAAGTGTTTAATTAATTAGTTTAAGTTTTTTGTTAATTATAAAAATTTTAATATATTTTTTAATTATATTTTAATAATTTAAATATTATATAAATATTTATTAAATAAAAAAAAAATATTTAAAAAATATTTATTAATTAATTGGTAATAATTTATCATTATTAACCCGTTTATCTTATTTTTTATTAATATAATAAAAACATTTTTATCTTTTACTTAAACATAATAAAATTTAACGTAATATTTTAAATTAATTTAATAAAACTATTTATTTTATAATAATTTATAAATATATATTAAAAATTTAATAAATATTTAATAAAAAATATTATATAAAAATATAATTTAATAAATTTATTTATATTATAATTTATATTAAAATAATAAAATAATTTTTTATTTAAAATAATTATTATAAGTATATTTTAATTAAATATAAATATTTATTAATAATTAAAAAAATATTTATAATATTTATTTTTATGTTAAAAAAAAAACAATTATTTGGTTAAATCTTATAATTTAAATATTATATTTATTTTTATTATAATATATAAATATTTATTAAATAATTAATAAATATACGGTAAATATTTACCAATTAAGTTTTATATAAAATATTTAAAATAAGTAATATTTTAAAAAAAAATTAAAAAATTTTAAATATTTAATAAATAATATAATGGTTATTATAAAAAACTAAAAATAATATTAAATATAAAAATATTTAATAAATATTAATAAATTAAATTATAAATAATATATAAATAGTTAAATTAAATTATATATTTTATTAAAGTAATAAAATATTTTTATAATTTTTAAAATTTTTTTTTTTTTTTAAAAAACGGGGTAAATAAAAGTTTAAAAAATTTAATTAATAAAATTTTACAAATTTTTATAAACTTTAATTAAATACCCATTAAATACTTATTAAAAACTATAAGTAAAATAAACTTTATTCCATAAATCTACTAAACTTTTATATAGGTTAAGTTATGTTAGGTCTTTTATATAAACTGCCCTTGTACAGGTAGGGTAAGGAGTGGGGCATAGGTCGGGTTACTCAGTTCCCCCTGATATCACTTACGCTTACGGGGTTACTATCCATGATACAACGTTACACTATGCACCTCTGAAGTAAGGGACTTCGGTACAGGTACCGATATATAAATACCTATATATGGTATGGCTCCCACGTGTATGAACCTCGTGCTAAATGACCATCTTCAAAGGGAAGAATTCACAATCAGTGCAATCATTGAACGTGGAAGCTTTGATGTAAGGGCTTATGTGAGCGCCCTGTTCTAATGCATTTATTTCTATCGATAATCATAACCGCTACCATGCCCAACGCGAGACTTTTAAATGCAGCATAGGAATAGGTATCATAATTAACAGCCAAACAAGCCGAGCTTAGCCGAGCTCAGCAAACAGCAATGCATCCTTAATATGCAATCTAACAGATAATACTAGCCTTTATGCCCGGTACTTTTTCTAAAGGTTTCGGGCTCGGCTGTCGAGCTCGTAGGAGCCTGCAGGCACCTGTGGCGCGTAGACATCCCCGGCCGGGTTTCCATACTGGGGCGGCGGCGGCGATGCAGCGGGCGATTTGTACTCGGTGTTGGTGGGGGGTGGGTAGTAGTACCCCGGCGCCGGCTGGGCGTATACGCCCTCCTCGAAGCCCTGCGGGTTGACGGCAGGCGCGTAGTTGCCGCCCGTTAGGGTGCCGCGTCGCTTGCGGTGGACGATGATCGCTGCGTGGATAAGTTGGGTCAAGGACGACGCACTATTGCCGTTGGTGTTAGCTTCTTATTCCAGTAGCATCATCTCCGGTTATGAGCCGTGGTAGTAGCAAGAACTGAGTTCTTGCTACCTCTCCGTCGAAGTTCCTTGCTAATATGGGATGATAGGCCGCGTATACGTACAATAGGACTATAGTCAGGATTATGGAGAGAGCAGAGTGTGCGATCGCGTTCAGTATGAAGATGATACCCCAGATTCCGGTCTTGATGCAAGCGCTCGTGAGGAACAACCCTGGCGGCATTCGCTTCTGGGAGATTAGGATGATCTCGACTACGTTCATGACGATATTAAGGCCGGTAATGCCGATTTGAAGGCCGGCGGAGGCACTACAATGGTTCATCCCAGTCAGTCAGTTTATCTTCCCCCTAATTTTTCTTATTGAAAATCACGGGAATGCGTACGTGAAAATTCCATTATAATCACCCAAGAGATCGTCAAGATCTTGCTGCTCTGAAATCCACAACAACCACGCCGACGCAGCTAGAAGCACTATGCACACCAAGATCTGCAGGATCCAAGCGGTGACGTTAACACTCTTCTTGTACGGATAGTCGTGCTTGGCCATGGCGTCTGCGGCTAGGAACGGTCTCGTCTATCGTGGAGTAGCGGTAGGGGATGACTAGTAAGTTAATACTAGCAAGAGATGAAGGCCGAACGAAGGACGAAATAGAGATGGAAGAATAAAATACAAGAACTAGTTAACAAGACAGCCCCAGGATGATATCTAGTTTACAAGTCTCCTTATTATCCCATGCCATGAATGTTGAAGTGTTGGTTTTGGAGCTTGTGGGCTGAGCCATTGCCAAGCTGGCCGGTGCGCATTTTAAGGCAGCACTTTTTCAGGCGCAGTTATTGGAACTTTAGAAGTTGGAAGGCTCCATGAGCGGGTAGTAAACTACATTGCGGCCCCAAATTATTTTTAATCGTATGCATCTTCTAAATTCTCGAAGATTTGCGCGACCTTCTGTGACGTTGAGGCTTGTTTTATATCAAGTAATACAGAAACACGAAGACTGAGAAAAGGTCTTTGGATTAGCTGACTACATAGGTCTACTGTTTTTTCCCCCCTGAGACATGCATCGCGATGGTTTTGTGGAGTTTCTATCTTCTGTTTTTGTTGGTCCTAAGGCTGCAAGGGTCTTTGATAGGTCGCGGCTTTTAACCATTTCCATTTTCATTAAGGAGCCAAGTCCCGGTTTAGTGGCTTCCAGGCTTGTTATGCCAAGGTTCAGGGCTGAAGCACTGAAGAAAATATACCCCACAAGTTGCATGTGTTGTTGGTTTGATATTGCTTCGAGTGCTAACCGAATACCGTGGAGTTCGACACCGACATTTATTAGCGGTGTTAGCATATTCTAGTTGTCTATCCGTCGATTATAAAGATCATGTTGGCTTCTCTGACACTCTTTGATTGACATGTATCCACCTTATGAACAATGACGATATGGCAAGGCGGGTAACACTGAAGGATTCTTTAGTTATGTCGATCATCCGTATGTGTATGCATATCCCCGATGTCGATACGGAGGCTTGGCGGTCTACAATGCTCGCCCTCAAAACATGGCCACTCCCTATTGAGTTCTTATGTTATACAAAATATCTAACTAATCATTATTCATCTCATGTCCCAGAGTTATCTTCGAGGACGAATTATACCTCGAAAACGTTGGTGGTTGGCATTACTTTGATGTAATTGCAAGACACTGCAAAATAGGAAAAGTCGGCCAGTCAGGTTAAGTCATACATCATCTTCCCTCAAGAGCAGCGGCAGTACGCTCGAGGAAAGCATTGAAGTCCTTGATTTGTTTGAGACTTCCACCACCTTCACTGCCACCACTGGCTTGACTAGCCACTCTAGAAATCAACAATTCCAGATTCGAAAGCTCGGCTGCTTTCTTTTCTTTTGGGTTAAGGCCTGGAGCTGATTTCCCATTTTCGATAGCCAATTCAATGTCATCCATTGCAGAGGAGAGTTCTAGTTGATGCTGATATAGAGTTAGCGAAAAAAAAATAACTTCGTGAATTTACTGAATTGATCATCTTAGACGCACCAGTGTTTCCTTGCTCGCCATCTCGTGGCGCATTCTCACCGCATCCATCTTCAGAGCTACTTGCTCTCTCTCGGCACGGATACGCATTATCTCGGTTCGGAGTGTAAGCTTGTCCTTCTGGACCGATCGCACACGCTTCTTAAGCGCATGCATGGTGTCGAGGGCAATAGTCTAAAACTGTTAGCTAGGACGCACATTCTGATGCCAACATGGCAACTTACGTGTTCCAAAAGGCGTGTTCGTAGTTCCTCCTTAAATGCCTCTAGAGCTCGGAGTTTCGTCCTAAACTCCTTTTTCGTAGCCGAATTCTTCGCATTAACAGCGGCTTCGTGAAGCGTCTCCAGGCTAGACTCGACGACTTCGTCGCATACTTGCGACAAGACGTCAATCACGTTGACGCCGCCACGGTTAGAAAATGGTATATCAGCGTTGAGAATATCACCGTTAGTGTCATCTTCATTCAAATGCATTCGCTTCGTGTATCTCTGCACAATGATAGGAATTGCTTCGCCGTCGCTCCGTCTTTTCGGGGGTAGCTTATTCTTTTTCTTAGGGGGTTTAGGGTGCGACTGCACTGCTGGACTACCTCGCACTTTTTTCTGTCTTCTTTTCTTTGTTGGTCGATTATCCTCAACTCTGGAATGTAGTTCTGGGGAGGCTTCTCGAGGTGGACTCTCCCGTGGGCGCTTTCGGCCGATTTTCCGGGCGGCCGTCTGGACGTCAACTGCTTCAGCCTCCTCTTCATCAACCACAACTTCTTCCTCTCGAGTTTCCTCTTCAGCTGCTTGAATTTGAATTTCAGGCAGCTCAGCCATGGGCTTAGGCTTCACCCTCGGCTGGGGTTTCCTGGGACTAGCAGTACCTGCGGCTTGGGGGGGTGAAGACAATTCATCTACTATACTAGGGGTGGCTAGTCTAACTTGGCTTCGTGTAGATCGTATAGACCCGGTAATTGCCGTAGCGTCACTTCTTTGCGCTGGCGATGGCTCTTCAATATCACCAATTTCTAGACCTCCCAATGCTCTCGTCACTGTTCGTGTTGATCGCGCTGAAGCAGCGCCCAAGGTGGCAGCACTAGCCCTGCTTTTTCGTGCTAGAGGTGAAGAATAAGTGAACTCGCCCGTAGCTCCGGCTTCTTCGTCTGTCACAGCCTTCAATAGTTTCGCGCTCCGGGTGATACTCTCGGGAAGAACTCTAACCGAACGTCTATGTCCACTTCCCGGAGCTTCGGCAGGACTTTCAGTAACTTCTTCTGCAATATGCCCTGGAGACAATCGAGAAGCTACGGATCCACGTGATTCAGGACGCTGTATAACAGCCTCCATAGACTCCAGAGTCTCATCTTCATTCTGTGGTTCCTGGTGCTCCAGACTTAGAGCTGCTAGAGGTCCTGATGCATCCTCGGGACTTTCTTGTTGGACGGCGGCATAGGGATCAACTCTTGACCCACTCAGCCGCGCCGATGTTCTTCTCGAGGCTCTCAGCGCACTAGAGGGTGGTTGCGAGCTCGTCAAATCGGCTTCAGGGTTCAGTCGGCGTCGCTTCGCAGAGGTATTAGGTTCCGATCGCGCTATGGACGACGGCGGAGGGGGGTCCGAAGCAGGGTCCGAAGAGGCTTCGGCACCCGGGAGGATAAAACCAAAAGAATCATCGGCAACTTCGTGACGTCTAAGTTCTATAAAGTTAGAGACACGACGAGATTCAAAGCAAAGAGGGAAACACATACCCAGCTCCACGCATGCGCTGTTGCATGCGCTCTTCACGGCCTAGCGTACCCCTGTATTAGTTTCTATTTCGTGAAGATTGTGGTTTTTACTCACTGGTGGCCATTTCGCTTTCGGACGTGAGGAATTTGGTATATTACGGTTTTTACATAAAATCAAGTTTTAAAGCACATCGTAGACAATGCAGTACGTTTAGCGAAAGTATACAGATATTCGAGATTAAAGCGAGTTGTAAGACGCGTCGTGATGCGCGCGCCACAGTTGACGTCGGTTTGCTTAAAGTAGGTACCTAGGTACTTAATTGGTGCTAACATGCGGAGCCCATTTATTCTTTTCGGCACTAGGGCGGCATTCGAAAACGTGACTTTCTACGTGCTTTATTCCCCCGAACGCCACAACATCGTCAACGGAACCAACTACATCCCATCATCCTCAACTACCTAATATATATAAACGATATTCGATAAAAATTTAGAGCCAGAATTTAGTATATGGCATATAATAGTCAATTACTTGGTAAATACGCATGGGAAGCTAGTTAATGGCAGACAAGCGGCATCGGGTTTATTTGCTATAGCCTACGGCTTGATTAAGTGCCTAACAGTTAGGAAAAACAGACGACTAACCTAGGAAACAGATGAATAACGAACGTTGCGACAATCTGGATTTTCGTATTATTTTTTTCTCTCCTGAAACATGAAACATGAAATCATAGCCTTCCCGGCTTGCAAATCGGCCATGGCCGTAACGGCAAGAGAATAGCATAGCAATCTCTGGAGTTTCTTCTTCGCATTCGGCGGCAACAAATCTCCGGGTTTTCCGGTCTCCTTCTGAACAAAATCGCCCATGAGATTTTATCTGACCTCACAATACGAATTTTCTCCTCATAACAAGCCTAGGAGGGTAAGAACTCCGAAGTTCTTCGCGTGTTTCTTGAAACGTCCCCAAGTGGACGTAAACACAGTCTGCGTCGATACTTCATCTTCATTCTTTCGGTGTCGACCATTCACAGTCGCAATATTGTTGACGAATGTGTTCTGTAACGAATGCAACGAGGATAGCTAGTATCGCACACTTAGACAGCCGGGCCCGCTGGCGAAGGTGGCGGCGGTGGACCCTGAGGTAGGCCTCCAGTCGGGTGGTCAATCCTAATGTTGCCAAAGATAACATTGTTATAGAATACATCCAGCTTTCTGGTGTCTGGATTGTAACAAACCTTCGTGAGACCATCGTTTTTGAACAGTTTGTTGAATCGTTCCGGAATTCTCGCGCGTTTCAGACTCGTAGACATCATCGGACATGCATCCAAACTACCGATAACCTGATCGTTGTACTTGACAATTCCATAGACGATAGATCCAATGGTTCCGTAGGATTCAATCTTAGTTAAGCCATCAGGCTGGAAGAGATGTCCTGGTAGAGAAGTCATTGGGGCAATGGATCCAGGACGCGCGTTGTCGGGAGGCGCAGCAGCCACATTGACAACAGGCTCATTAGCATAGGCTACATTGGAAGTAGGGTGCCCGCTGAGTTGTTCGTCGACGGGAGGTGCGTTAGGTACATCCACCGGGGGTGCATTGGAGCTCCTAAGAGGGGAATGAATCTGGAATAGATCCGTACGAGACCCGTCAGGGTTCGCGGGGAGAGGGAGAGGCATCGGCATCGGCATCTGTCGAAGTTCTACAGTGCCGATAGCCTTGCTGTCGAACTTGATGAGAATACGCCAGAGAAATGGCCAAGGTTCCAGTCTGGTGCGATCATGAACTCCGGATAGGACATATGTGATTGTCATGGCCATGTCATACCCAGGGACCACCGGAAGTAAGTCTGGAAAGAAATGCACTACGCCAATTTGTTGGCCGTCAAACCGGATGATCCGAGACGAGGGGATATAACCGTTGGGAAGTAGCTTGGTGCGATCATCGCAGAATAGGTGCGGGTACAGTCTGGCCAATTTTTGATACTTATCGAGGTCAGCCTGGGTAGGATTCTGCGGACTCAGACTCTGGTAGAGGTCGTCTAGGTTGGAAGCTTGTCCAGCTATCTGCGAATTATTGCGTCTAGGTGGATGCACAAGGTCAAGTCGTTGGTTGCGGCGTGCAACTGCCCCTTCTTTGTGTCCAAGGGGGTTTGCACCAAAGTTCCGCGAGACACTCCGTCTAGATACATAGTCCTCGTCCGAGCTATCATCATCGATCACTATCACGACTCTTTCCTTCTCTTTCCCTTTCCCTTTGTCGACTCTCGGTTCATTATCCTCAACGTCCGAACTGGCATCCGGAAGGTCATCGTCGATCATTATCACCACATTCTCTTTCTCGACTCTCGGCTCATGATCTCCGACGTCCATCAGGCCCATGCTGGCGAGGCGCTCCGTCATCTCCCGTTCGCCCCCAAGCTGAGAACCTTCGGAGTCAGATTCTTCTGGAGTATCGGGGAACTGGTAGGCGTCATCGTCCTCGAGGTATAACTCCTCTTCATAATCCTTAATAGGTTCAAGTTCTTCTCTTAATCCGACACCAAGAGGTAACTTCAACTTGTAATCAGGTCCTACGTCCTTCAGGACCCAAAAGCCAGAATCGAATAGCTCAAAGGTTCCATACTCTGTCTTAAGGAGCTCCCTTGGAGGCTCTTTCGCATGGGACCGCGCAACAAGATAGTTGTCTGCAAATAGATTATCTGGGTCGCACTCTAGTCCTTCAAATGGGGTTCCTTTGCGAGGGTTTTCATTAGACCGGCTTCGTTTGGAAGGGCGAGTGTGAGGAGGATCGTGAGGAAGAGAGCGGCGAGGTCGACGAGGCTGGCGAGGTGGAGGAGGCTTAAAACCGAAATGTTTAGCATTTAGTCGGTCATGCATTGCATCTAACTGTCGCGCGGCCTCTAGCGGTATAGTAGTAGATACGTATGAGACATCAGCCTCTTCAGCAGCCTCTTCGGCATCCCGTTCAGGTAGGAATTTTTTGTGTTCTTCCTCCGGAACCCAGGGGAGAGGAGAACGATGGGCAACTGGGTCGTTTCGCCCCTTAATTCCAGCAAGGCGGTGCCATTGTGACAAGTCCGTGAATGAATCTTTGTGGAGAGTGAACGGTAGAGAACATTCGACGGGAAGATCGAAATCCCAAAAGAAATTCCACTCTACTTTGGTCCTCGCCTTCCAGCACGTCGCCATATATTCTTTCATCTCCCGCCAGTTCGGAGGCCGGGTATTAGGGAGACCCTCGTTAGGCAACTCGTGTTGCCAGAAGTTAACTTTCCCTGCGCATCGTAGTGTTATCCAATTCCAGACTGCCTAAGTCTCGATTGGTTTACAGTACTTTATAAACTTGGACACCTTGGCACGGAGTACGTTTTCACGATTGAAGCAGGTGTTGCATGGCTTGGAAATGAAACCCGTAGCAAGGCGACAAGAAAGTGCTTCTCTTCCTTGCCTCAGCCAAGTCCATTTCCATAGCGTTGAATTAAATTCCATCTCGACATCTTTGATGCCGAACTTAACTTCCTCTTCGCCAGGCGTTTCAGTGGCCCTTTGGAAAAAGAATGCGGGTTCCTGACAAAGATGGCAGTAAGGGATCCGGAGAGTAAGTATTCGGTGCGGTGCTTCGCTCAAACGAGCCGACCAGTGATTGTGCATCATCGTTCCCTTTGAAACCAATGTAACAGAGCCATCTTCATCGATCTTCTCCTTCTGGACTTCGGGGCCACCGACGCATTCTTGCACCCCCGGGTGGCGTGCGAAAGTGCAGTCGTCGCATAATTGGTTAATTAGAGAGGTGGGATCGGTCGGCGGCCAGATGAGGTTCGGGCAGTATATACGAACAAATGGCCCAGAGATGTTTCGTCTGCTGTAGTCACTGCGGTCCATTTCCTTCTCTACTATATCCTTACAAGGGCGAATACTCCAATCGGCAACCTCGTGGCATATGGGGCAACGGAGACGAGATATACGGCACATGATGATGAAGAGCGAAGATAGTGCGTGTATAACAGGTCTGTAGGTACGTAAGGGGTATACTAACGATTTAGTTAGCATCTTTACTTTCTTCGATGGATATGCCAGCTTTGGGATAGACCTCTGGGTTTAGAAGCAATACTCACGGTAGATAGAGTCCGGTCCTTCAAAGTAAACGCCAATAATACAAATATGTATTAGAAGCTTCTTGAGAAAATTGTTCTTGGTTTCCTAAACGGCTAAACAAGTCGTGTGGCACTATTAGACACGGGTTAGTTTGTTTAATTCAGTAATGTGATCAATCCTTTACTCGAGTCAACATTAGGGATTATCTTACAATAGTAATTCAGAAGTCCCAGGACAATAGATGGCAGAAGTGAGATCTCCGGTAGCGGTGCGTATAAAGTAACAATGAAGGGGACAAGGTTGGAGAGAGAGAACGATTCGATAGGCTTTATTTGCGAAACGGAAGACGCGTGGAAATACTAGGCACCAAAAGCCTAAAAAGGCTCATGTTAATACTAAGATTTCCACGGAGATACTTCCAAGTGCTGCTCGTTGGCCTATATGGGAATGATAGAAATTGCGATAGAAGTGCTTGAAGCACACCTAGATCGCGCCTAGTAGATGTGTTTAGTTGAGGGTATCGCGAAAGGTAGGAAAAGAAGGTAGGCAGAAGAACCTTTCAGCGAACAAATATTGGAACGACCATGGACATTAGGAAGTGTTGATGTAAATTTTCTCACTTTGGTTGCCCCATGATACATTCAGGCAGAAAGGTACCTAGATTAGTATAAATGCATGGTTAGGTACCTAGTTCCTAGCTGGCCGTGAGAGTTCTGCAGCTTTAGACAGGCGTAAAGCTATTTATCACAGGTGTCAACTGCGCCTATCAACACGTCATTAAATGTAAGGTGTCTGTCCATTAGAGATCCACCCGTATGGGGTAGTAAATAATACCATTAAACCTGTCTCCATGCGTAAGCCGACTTAATCTGAACAGCTTTTGTTTTGAGTCACTGTAAAATTTCAAAGCAGGTATCTGCAAGAGGTTATGGTTATAAGTCTCACGTCTACCCGTTATATGCGCCATCGAACTATATGAAGCAAATAACATTGCAGTCAAGTAGTGTGAAAGACCAGTTTATTCGTCTAAGAGTGTATTTTTGTAACTACCTAACCGCTAGATCCACCTTTTGGCACATACCTACTTTGTGGCATACTTCCCACCAAAACACTACCTTTTCAACCTCGAATAACATTACGTATATTAATATTATAAAGTCGAGATTAATACAAATCAATAAATAATTAATTTAAGTTTATAATTATATATATAATATTAAAACCGAAATAGTAGTTATAATAAAATTGGTACTTTAACATATAATATAAAAAATATATTACTTTTTTATATAAATTAAGTATAAAAAAATATTACAATTATTTATTTTAAAACGTTATATATTTAAAACTATCGTTTTAAAAAGGTTAATATAATTAATTTTAAGTTATACATAAAGTTTTATAATTATAATTAAATTAAGTAACATATTACATAAGTTAAAAATTTTACTTATATAAATATAATAAAATTTAATATAAAATTATTTTTAACTTTAAATTTTTTAACAATAAAAAATCTTATAATTACGAAATATATATAATATATATAAAAAATCTCGGGCATTTTATTACATGTTTTAAATTTAAACATTTAAACGTTATTATTACAATATTCCAATTTTTTATATTATAAAAAATATTTATTTTTATACTAAATTTATATGTAAAAGCTTTATACTTTTATATTAAAAAGTAATTACTTTAATTATGTTACGAATAATTTTTTTTATTTAATAAAAGATACAAAATCAGTAATAAAGCTTTATAAAATATTAAAAAAATTTAATTACAAATCTATAACATTAATATATGTAATGTTATTTAAGGTTGAAAAGGTAGTGGTTTTGGTGTAAAAGTGTGCCACAAAGTAGGTATGTGCCAAATGGTGGATCCAGCAGTTAGGTACTTTAGGTAACTAGAGTTCATATTTGCGAGGCAGGCTCCAATACATCATTATTCTTAAGCTCTGGTGTCCAGCGTCCTTGTAAATTGGTCTTTAGTCCCAGCTTGGCAAATATGACAAATCAATATAATAAAATAAAATAAGAATGCCGTCTGATTGGTGAAAAGGGGTCTGAGGTTATAATCGGCAAAGTTGTGCACCCATCCTTCACATTAGATATGATTGGTATGTTCCATTCTAGTGGTCGGCTTGCGGCTCTGCTGTAAATTATGTGTTACAGTGTAAGCTGAGAATACATATACTACCTCCTACACGTAACCTACCAGCCTGCCTACCATGTATCTACCGGATATACACGACATCTACTTTTATGTACACTATGAGTGAGTAATGTGCCAGAAACAACCAGCCTTATGGAAGTTGACGTGGTATGATCATATTAGGCATGCATATGAAAAAGAAATCAATAAATGGGAAGTGGCGGTAAGTTTCTAACTGGCGGGTTGGGTTTCTACTATCAAAGGCCTGATCAACACTAGTTGGTGGCTTTCTTGATGTATTTTATCAGCAAACCAATGTACTGTCTATCTCCTATACCGGGAGCCAGATAGAAGAATAGTATCTCGTAGTGTGATATAGCTGTATCCTGTACAGACTACTTGGGATTTAAAATGCCACCCACGTAGTCTAGTAACACGAATTCGGTATTTAGACATGCCGTGATAGACAAATGCCTATGCAGATACAGAAGACATTAATCCGACATTATGACTGGCTACAGGGACGTCCTTGCCTGCCTTACGAGATAGCTTTCTTTTTTCTTGTACTACCGAGGGACTGCTGCTACGACACCCGTTACGGTTATCTTTCACGTATTGGTCTACAAAACCGATCAGAATATATTGGAAAATCAATTCTTTGAGTGTGGCTATGTCAGGGTATAAGTAGAACTAGTATAAATTAGGTATAGATCTATATCCTTAACATCGCGATGTCTCACCCAAACGCAGACATCGTAATCAGCGCGTACGTTGCTACGGCCATTCATTTTCTATTTTCTGTTTTGTCTTTACCGGGGATGCTTGAGGCTTTACTTATTTCGGTCCTAGGTTCAATGGTGCCTTGGCTGTTCGCGATTTTCCACATACTCAACGAGCCTTTGCATTCGAAGTAACTTTCTTTCTGGAAAGCCTAGGGTCTGGCAGGGGAACGGGATCCCAGAAGCCACCTTCACATTTTCATCCTTACCAAGAAGAATATGTTGAAGTCCTGGAAGGGAATTTGATGGTCGAAGTCGACGGGCGAGAGTATCTGTTGAGTCCCGGCGATGGTGAATTTCAAATTTCTCCCTGGAAGGACCATCGGTTGTACCAGCCTCTTGACATTCCCGATGACACAAATTAGCCTGGGAACATTTCAAAATTTATACTCTCAGCACAGGACACGCCCATGGCTTATAAGCTCGATGCTATCTTTTTCCAGAACTGGTACGGTTATCTTGATGAGATTGCGCTAACGGGGGAGAAGATGAATCTCATTCAAACTATGTGTGTAAGTACAAAATATACCTAGCTCTCCGCCTCTAAATCCTCATGCTAATTTTTATAAGATGTTTGATGCAGGGGGGACATATTTATCACTCCCACGGTGGATACCCCTAAATAAATGGATTGCATGGGCACTTGGCATAGCGATGGGAAGATGGCTGGGCGGCATTCTAGGGTATCAGCCGTTTTATCGAAAGTGGACGACAGACTGGCAATTGGCTTGCTGGAAAATGCCCTCTTCCATCATTCAGAGAAGGTTCATAGATACTACAAGGGAAAACTGATGACTTGTAGTTGTCACTGGATATAAATATAACGGAGACAGGTATTGTCAGGTTATATCAAATCCATCCTTAGTTAGGATTGGGTCGCCGATATGATCCCAGAAGTACGCATTACAAATGATGGTAGCAAGAGGTGGGTATTCTCCCTCAGTGATACCCCTATGGATGCTGCTAGCAAATTCATGTACGGTAGTAAGATTCGCCAACACGACACCTCTTTTGTTGTGATACCCCTCAAACGACTACTGAGGGAAGTAGGATTTGTGTAACATTTCTCGGCGGTGCTTAAAGTAGCGCCGTAATACCTACCAAGCGGGCGGAAAGTTACATTTAATGTGAAAATGATAAGCTGTTTTCTTAGAGTAGTGTGCGGAAACTGGATGGCGTTGGCATCTTGTTCGGAGTAGAGTTGTATCCAATGCGTTCCAGTATAAGAGGTAGCTAGTTAGAAGATCAATAATATCTTAATATACACAGAAATAGCATTCGTACATCTCAATCTTGTCTAATACACTCTTCGCCAATCAATACGAATCAAACTCCCTACACTAGGAAATACTCACCGAGGAAAGGGGTTATGTAGGCTGAGTTCCCAAATCAATATAGGGGTAACCATGCTAAAGGATGGGTCTCTTACCTCCCACTCTCCTGGATTTCTTATGTGCAACTGGCACGCCTTAGCTTCTGGTGGCTTGTATATTCAAATGGGGTTATTCTACTATTTATTTGTTGTGATGGGCAGCTTTATTTCATTGGGAGCAATGATCAGTTCGGTCAAACTTGACGACGCCTTAAGTTGTTGGTGGTGGTTTCAATGTGGTTTCAGGGTTACTGGTGGCTTTACTTGTCTCGGTCATATCTTAGAGTATGCATTCGCTGAGTAATCCCAATTATAGAAGAGCTCTTATAAATAGGTTATATATTCGGCTTTGGTACCTAACCTTACCCAGTAGGCTGTATTGTAGTTAAAAGGTACCAGCTGTTCTCTTGTGCTTAGGATTAGATAATACAAGGTCAATGTGTACCGTACCTTTTACAAAGCGGTATCGTTAACGCAGCACCTGTTCGATCCACTTTTTTAACCTTCTTGTAACTTTTGGACTTTATATCCTTTATACCTATAATGGCGTTTCGCGGCTAATTTAAATAGGTATTATTATTTATAATATAATAAATTTTCGAATTTTATATCGCGTTTAAGTTTTATTTTTTATTATGCGTTTTTTTTATTTTTTTTAACCGCGTTTTAAAAAGATTTAAAGTTTTAAATAATTGTAAAATAATAATATTAACGAAAATTATAAGTAAATTTAAAATTAAAAGTTTAATAACGTAAATTAACCGTTATTTTAATTATATATTGCAATTTTTTATTTATTAACGTTTTTATTAAAATTATTATATAATTTTTAAATTTGGTAATAATTTTAAAATAAACATTTAAAGTTTAATAATTTACTATTAAATTTAAAATTAACATAATTATATTATTTTTTGTATAAAATTATGTTATTTTTATAAAATTTTAATATTTTACGTCGGAAAATTTAAACAAGTTTTCGCGTATATATATAATAACTTTAATTATTTAAATTAATTAATAATAAACTTTATTTTATTTCTTTTATATTTTTAAATAAATATATAATTAATATTTAATTAATAATTTAATAAATTTCGATAATTTATATTTTTTTTAATTTTAAAAATTAATTTTGGTTAAATTTGTATAAAACGTATTAAATTATAAGTTAATAACGTATTTAATAATATATTTAATTATATATTTAACCGTATATTTGGTTATATATCCGGCAGTATATTTGGTTATATATAATTATATATTTGGCGGTTTTATTAAAATTTTTATTATTTTAAAATTTATAAATTTTTAACCTTTAAAAAAGCTATATTAATTTTTTTTTCGAACGGGTATATTATTTATTTAAAATTATATTATAAATTATAACCTATTAATTTTAAAATCTTTTTTATTAATAATAACGTATAATTTTTGTTAATAGTAATAAAAAAAACTGTTTAAAAATTTATTTAAATACGGTTATTTATTAAATTTTAAATTTTATATTATTGATTTATTAAATTAAATATTTAATTTAAGTAAATTAAAAAATTTTAAAATAAAAATAATAATTATATTTATAATAATATAAATAATTATAATTTCTTAAAATTTTATAGTTTTATGTAATTTAAACAATTTATTTAATTAATATTTTATTAATATTTAACTTTTATTTGACTTTTATTTTATTATTTTTAAGTTTTTTAATTTATTATAAATTAATATAATATTTTATATATTTTTTTTTTTTTTAATTTATTATAAATTTATAAAAAAGTTTAAATATTTAAAAAGTTAACTGTTTTTTTTTTCTATTATTTATAGATTTAATAAAGCTATTTTAAATTAATTTATTAATTTATTAATAATTATTTATTTTAAAAATCTTAAATTTTAAAGGTTAAATATTATTAATATAATTTTAATTTTAAAAAAAAGCTATAGTTTTATAATTTCTTTTTATTCCCAAGTTTTTATTTAAAAAACTTATATTAAATTAAAATTATTATTTTAAGTTTAAGATAAAAAAAATAAAAAAGTTTTTATTTTATTTAAATTTTTATTAAATTATAAAAAATTAATAATTAATAATAAAAAACCTTTAAATTTAAAATTTTTAAAAATATTATTACGGTTATTTATTTTTATTCCAATATATTTTAAATTTTTAAGATGGTAAAAAAAGTTTTTTAATTTATTTGATATAATTTAAATTAATGTATTATTTATAATATTAATTAAAAAATAATATTAATTTTAATTTTAAATTTATTTTATTTATTATATTTAATTTAAAAATAAAAGATAATTAAATTTTATTATTAAACTTTTTTTTTATTATTAATATTATTTAAAAGAATATTGTAAGTTAAAAGTAGGTAAAGATTTTTTTAAACGTAAAAGAAAAATTATACGGTAAATAATAAATTATAAAACGTGTTTTTTTATTTATATATTATTTATTAATATAATTTATATATAAAGTAACGGTTTAAATTATTTTTATAATAATTAAAAAGATATAAATTATATTAAAATATTAAACGGTTTTTGCATTTAAATTTAAACTTAAGTTTAAAATTAATAAATTTTAAAATAAATTAAAAAATTATTAAACGGTAAAAAAGATAATTTATTAATTTATATAACTTTTTAAGATTGTAAATCCCGATATATTAAGATTTAAAATATTAAAAATATTTAAAATAATATTAAAAAATAAAATTTTAATAATTTTCCTGTTATAATATTTTTTAATATATTTGATTTAAATGCCAATAAATTGGCTTAATTTGCCGTAATTTAACATTAATTTAACGAAAAAAATTAAGTTAAAATTTATTATTACTAATTTATTAAAAACACATAAAACGGAATAACTTTTATAGGTTTTATTTAATTTTAAAAATCGTTTTTAATTATTTTAATTTATTATAAAGTTTTAATTATTATAAATTTTATTTATAATATAACGTAATTTAAATAAAACTAATATTTTTTTATTATTATAATTTATAATAAATATAAATTTTAAATCTTATATATTTTTTATTATTTTTGGAATTAAAATGTAATAATAATTAACGTAATTTTTAATATAATTATTAAGTAATTTAATAGTTTTAAATAAAGTTAATCTTTTAAATATATAATAATAAATAACAATTTTATAAAATAAAAAATAATTTATAAAAACTTTTTATATTTAATATTAAAATTATTAAAAAGATAAAAAGTTTATACGGTTAATTATAAGTTTTATACATATTATATTAAAAAATTTCTATTTAAACGTATTAAAATTTATAATTTACTAATAATAGTATATATATATATATTAATAGCATTATATAACCGGAAAATTAAAAAAAATTATATAAAATTTATTATTTAAATAATTAAAATTTGTAAAAATTCCAACTTTAAATTTAACGTTTATTATATAAAGCGTAAATATATTTTAAAATTTTAAATGTAGACTTATTATATTTAAATTAATGTTTTTTTATTTTTTTAATACTTTATAACAAATTTTATAAAAAATTAATATAAAAAATTAAAGTTAAACGGCATAAAATAATAAATAATTTTTATTAAAATATTTTTTACGGAAATTATTACAGTTTAATATATAAAAAAAAATTTATTAATTAAAACTAAAATAATTAATAATAAAACAAATAAAAACCAATTATTTTTTAACAATAACTTTTTTAATTAAAATTTTAAAAGTTTATTTTTTAATACATAAAATATAATAGATAAATAGTTTTAAAAGGTTAAAAAGATATAAAATAACAGAAATAAAACTAAGATTATTTTATATAAAAAAGTTATTATTTTAAAATATAAAGATTTTATAAAAGGAAATTTTAAAAATAATAAAAAGTTATAATTTATTATTTTTAGATTAAAAAAGTTTTTATTTACCAATATTTTTTTTTATTTTTATTTTTAATAAAAAAAATAACAATTACCTTATAAATACATATTTTTACATTAATTATTTTACAGTTTTTTAATTAAAAAACATTTTAATTAATTTATTTATTTATAAAAAAAAAATAAGTTTAAAATTTACAACAAATTTTAATATTTTTTTATAAGTAAAAAAATAAATAAAATAATTAATATATTTCTTAAATTAAAAATTAACTTTTTAAATATAATTAAAAATTTTTAAACAAAAATTTACAACATTTACGATACTTTTTAATATATTTTAATATTTTTTACCAAATATGCCAAAAAAATAAACGTTTTAAAATATATAATAAAATTTATATTAAAGTTAATTTAACGATTTAAAATTTAACCAAAAAAATAAAATAAAATAATTATAAATTTAAAAGTAAAATTAAAAATAATAATAACATATTTAAAGGTTAAATTTAAAAAAAAGTAAATTATTAACGATTTAATAATAAAATTAAAAAGTAGTTAAATCGCTTAGGATTTACTTATTAAAAACTTTTTAATTATAACATACATATGTTTAACTTTTATTTAAATATTAATTATAATAATTATTACTTATATTATTACTAATATTTAATAATATAATAATATAATAAAATTTTATAATTATATATTTAATTAATTTTAAAAAAATATTATTATTTTTATATTAATATAATAAACTTATATAAATTAATATTTTTCTTTTTATCGTTTTATTTTTTTTTTATTACTTTTTTATCTTTTTAACCATATACTTTTATTATTTAACTTTTTATTTTTTTTATTATTATTTATTAATTTAATTATTTATTTATTTTAACGCAATTATTTTTATAAATAACGTTATTTCGTTTTTAAACATTAATTTTATTTATTTTTTATTTTATTTATTTATTAATACTTTATTATTATTACTTTTTACCAATAACTTTAATAAATTTAATTTAAATAATTTTAAAATAAATTTTATTTTAAACTTTATTATAACCTTTACTTACATTTTATACTAATAACTTAAATGGCTTTAAAATAAACTATTTATTTTTTTATTTATTTTTTATTTATAAAAGGTATTTTTTATTGTTACCTTAAAAGCGTTTTTTTATTATTATTTTAAAAACGTTTTTTCATTATTATTTTAAAATAAAACACTTTTTTATTATTATTTAAATTAACCAAATTTAAAGAATTTTTAAAATAAATTTTATTTCGATTATTATTTTAATTTTATTATCTTTAAATTAATAATTTTAAAAAGTTTAAAAAATAAACCTATTAATATATTATTTTTTAATATTTAATATATAAAACGTAAAAAAAACTTTTAAAATTACTTTTATTACAATTATTTATAACATTTTTAATTTTAATAATAATAATTATATTTAAATATATATTTTTTTTTAAAATATTAACAACAACATTATTAATTTTAAAAAAAAGTTAAAAAAAATAATATTATTATTTATTTAATAAAAACTTTAATTTAATAGTTATTATATTATATATTAAATAATATAATTATTAAAATAACTATTATATATATATAATTATTATAATATATTTTTAAAAATAAATTTATTTAATTAAAATAATATATAACTTTTTAATTAATTAAATTATAATTTTAAATTAAATTTTCTTATATTTTACATATTTTAATAATTATTTATTATATTATAATATAATAATTTATTTTTTTTTATTATTTATTACAATTTTTATATATTATTTTTAATTAATAAAATAATATTATTTCATTCGTTTTATTCTTTTAATCTTTTTTAAATATTAATTAACAATAAACGTAAAAAATTTTTAAAATTTATTAATATTTATTATTTAAAATATTTTAATTTAAATTTATTATTTAATTTAAATATATTTAATAATAGCAGTATTTATTATACAATAATATATTATATTTATTATATTATAATTAAAAATGTATAAAAGTTAAATAAAAAAAAAAAAAAAAATAAAAAACTTTTTTTATTTTTAACCTAAAGGCTTTAACTTATTATAATATTAAATAATAATATTTTATAAAATAAGCAATATTATTTTTACGTTTTTAACTTTAAATATTTTAATTGTAAATATATTTCTTTTAATTTTTAATTATTATATTAATTAATATTAATTAAATTATATTTATAAATTATTATTTTATTTTTTTATCCTTTAATTATTAAATCTTTTTTAAAAATTTACCGGCATTTTAAAAATCTTTTAAATTATTAATTTTCCTTGTAAATTAAAATAAATACATTTAAAAAAACAAAATAACTATTAAAAAAACCGTTAAAAATAAAAACGTTAAATTTTTTAACGTATCGTTTTAAAAAAATCCCTTTTTTATTATAATATATTATACCAAAATTTACCAAATTATTAACCATTTAAACAGATTTAATTTTACTTATATTATTTTTAAAACCTTTAAATTATAATTTAAAACAAATTATATACATAAATATTTATTATTAAATATTATATACAATAATTTTTTAAACAATTCGCTTAACATTATACCTTTTCGTACAAATTTTTATCGTTTTTTAAATAAAAATTAATTTACTTTAATTTTAAAATTAAACCTAAAAACTAGATTTATTACTACCCGCTTTTATACTTTAATATTACATATATTTTAACCGTTTAAAAAATTAAACAAAATTAACTTTAAAATAATTATATTTTATTATAATCTTAAAATTTATATTTTTATCGGGAACTTTATTAAATATCTTTTTACTTATTTTACGTAATTTTTTTTTAACAATATTATTATATTACTTTTTTAACTTAAAAATACAAAAAAAACAATATTCTTCGTTATAATATTTAAAAAATCGAACAATAACTAAAAACGTATTTAAATATACCGAAAATTTAAAAGAAATTTACTTTTATTAAAATTTAAAATCCGGAAAAAACAATATAACACTAAATATTTTTTACTTAATATAAACAATAATATTAATAATATTAATAATATTAAATTTATAAATTTATTTAATTTTACCTTTTATAACGTAATTTTTAATAATATATATAATTAATATAATATTAATAATATATATTATCCGAAAAAACATTTTTAATTTTTAAATTTTAATAATAATAAATATATTAATTATAATTTAAATCTTAATAATAATTATAATTTTAAATTTACGAAATAATTTACATTTTATATTTTAATTAATTTAAATAATAATAAAAAAAAACCTTTAATTAAATTATTTTTTAAATTTTAAAATATTAAAAATAATAATATAAATAATTATAATAAAATAAGTTTAATTAAAAACATATATAACTTTTATAATATTAAACGTTTTAGTTTTTAATAAAAATTAAATAATATTATAATTATTAAATATATATTTTTAACAGTTTTTATTTTTTTATTTAAATATATTATATAAAAATAATTTTATTAATATATTAAAAATAAACGCGTAATATATATTATAAAAATATATATTAAAAATTTAATTAATTATTTTAAAAATATTCGCAATTATTTAACTAATAAATAATTACGGCATTAATTTTACTTATAAAATTAGTAAGGTAAAAATATATAAAGTATATTGCAAAAAGGTCGCAATGTATACCGTGCCACTTATAAACAGGTGCTGCGTTAACGGTAGCCCTACAAAGGGCATACTATAACTAAGTTGCGCTAACCTTATTGTAGTTACTCTTGTGTAACTATTTGACCCACTTCTGGGATACACGTAATGACGGTCATTGCCCTGTCGCCGTGCATTCGATTGTGCATCTACATCACCTTTTCGCGACACATCTCCTATACTCAGCTTACAATCTATTAACTACATAATAAGACCACCTTTCTCTTCGTGCATTCGTCGGAAGTCTCTGTGAGAGTTCCTACAAGTTTTACTATCCCACCCCTAAAATACTAGCTGCTTCTGCGGCTCTGACCTGCAAATCAGGGCCGCCGGATTTACCTTTAATCATCCACCTATCACCAAGAGCTGCGATAGCTCCTGGCCAAGTTCCCTATCAAAATGACTGCATGGAATGTTAGTACCTATAGTTTCCTTATCGATTATAAGATTTATACTAAGAAAATATCTTTTAGATATTTCGAATACTGGGAGACTGCTCCCATCTGCTCTCGAAATGTATCCTGATCTTCGCCATCCATCGAAACCGGAGCGCTGAAGGTAAAACCCCTCCAAGCAAAACTTCCCCCTCTATCCCTGAGCTTATGTCAGCTAACATGTCCTATGTAGGTGTCTCTATGATCACTCAAGCCTTCTATGCTGTCGTCTTCTGCACGAGATACACAGATTTCTTCCGCGAGACGTCTAACTGGAACTACTTCTTCAAGCTCTTCTACATCCTGTCCTCCTTCTATATCCTCATTATCATGCGATGGCTGTTCCCTCGGACCAGGGAGCGCGAGATATCCTGGAAGTTGGGCGCTGTGGTTCTAATGGGATCGCTGTTCATATCGCCCTTCGTCATGCTGATCTTTGAGAAGCGCTGGGGCTTCTTCACGGTTAGTCCGAATATTACTCTTCTTCTAAACTACTACTCCGTGCTTAGTCAACTAATGCGCGCGCAATATAGTGGATGTACGACTTCTCTCTCATCCTCGAGTCCATCTGTGTCCTCCCCCAACTACTCCTTCTGCGCCAGACCAACGTCCCGACCGTCATTGACTCCTTCTACCTATTAACATTGGGCTCATACCGTGGCCTATACATCCTCAACTGGATCTGGCGAGAACTCGACGTCAACGACCGCAAGCCGAACGCCGTGTCCGTCATCTTCGGTATTATCCAGACGGCCTTATACGTCGATTTCTTCTGGGTATACTACACGCGCCAGCGCGTCAAGCTCCGGGCTGGCGGTATCGTCGACTCGGACGACATCCGTCGCGGCTGGCTCCTCGGCCGCATCTTTGGCAACAAGCGCTTCCAGGCTGCCGAGACGGACGACGAGGAGAGCGCCCCTGCCCTTGGCCGCAATGGCAACGGCCAGCAGCGCAGGTCCAAGTGGGGTTCTAGGGGTATCTCGATCAGCGCTGATGAGGGCATCCGCGAGCACGAGCAAGAGGAAGAGCAACAGAACCATAGCGATGACGACTTCAACGACGCAGCTGTGGACCCAGATGCGAGGATGAAGGATCCCGACGAGCTTGCTAGAGTTCTTGATGACGATGACGATGACGATGACGAGGGATTGCCAGAGCCGGCATCATCGCACTCGGAGCCGAGTAAGAATACAAATGGTGTTAGCAATGGAAGTGAATGGCGGGAGCACTAAGCCGAAGAGTCTTCAGAGGCACTTATACCTTGAATGACTACGGGGAAGATGAGAGGGAATACGGCCAAATCGAGCAGACAAGTTCGATATCCGCGTTTTAAGAGAGGCTCAATAGGGGATGTGTTGCCTAATTGTACTTTTTACATAATGGGGTCACGGACGAGGCGTACGCGCAAAGGGAGTTAGGCTTTTATTCACGTTAGGAAATGATTTGAAAGGGTATTTGTCCGAAGATGCTGGTTCACAACCCTTTGATTTCCTCAGTTTGTGCAATTCCAGACCCTATTGGAAAGGCAAGGGACGAGTTGTGTGCGGTTTAGTCATCTCAGCCAGGTCAGGTCAGGCTAGGCCAGTTAGATATACATGCAACCATTATATATCCCATGGCGAGCAGAAGTAGGGTATCGACTACTTTGATGAAGTTGTTCTAAGGAGTAATTACGTGATTGGATGGTGTGTCTGTATTGCTTTTTTCTAGCTTGGTTCTGACTGAATTCCCGATATCAGGACAGACAGACCTAAGGGCAGTTGGTTTTACAAGAGGATTAGAAGCACGAGTCAGGACATCTAGCATAGCACCAAGCTTAAATAGAAGCTATCCGGTCAGACAAAACTGTACCTTACGCTACCTAGATCCGTCGTCGTCGTCTCCAGAATAATATGTATCTAACCGCTAGTCTAGTGTTTGTATGTGTGTACCTATGCTTAGACCTACCTCCTAATATTGCGCCCACTCTAAACCAACTATCCACTCCTAACGATACCTAGGTATTCGTATATGTATGTACACGCGATGCGGTTCGATATGGAGAGACTATCTGACTTGCTGACTCTCTTAGATCGGATTATATACCACCAAATGCCAATAATAAATAAGCTTACGACAGCACCCGCTCTATCTGACTAACTCGACCGAAAAGAGTCGCTGACGGCGCTACCTTACTAAGGCGCGTGCGCGATCTTCCAATACGCTCGAAGCAGCGCCAGTCCGCCGCCCTGGGTCTCGACTGTTCTGCCGCGGCCGCGCGTGTTCGGGTCTTTCGAGCTGGAATCTTGCGCCTGGCGTTTCTTTTTCTCCGCAGAGCCGTGCATGGGTTTCTGCGCTTGATCTGAATCTGCGAACGGTCTTTCAACTGGCAAGTGGACGCCAGGCTTGTCTTTACTAGGCGGCGCGGCCCGCCATGTGGTGTCGTTCGGCACGCCGTAGTTGCGGTAGTCGATGCCGTTTTTATGCGGCACCCCGTCGTCCTTCATGGTAGGCCACGGGCCGGCCCAGCGGTGCGCGAGTAACCCGGCCGTCCACCATTGCCCGAATTTGCCGTGTTCGTCGCGGGTGCGCAACGCTGCCTGCGCGTTGTGTTTTAGCCAGCCGCTGTAGGTTGAACAGGCTCTGCTGTGGGCACTTTTGACCGCGTCAAAAGCGCGCTCGTCGACGTTAGTGTCGGGCGCGACCAGTGGCGCGCAGAAGGCCGTGAGATGGTGGAAGAAGACGCCTTTGAAAGTCTGTCCGTCTTGACTGCAAGTCCCGCTTGCGTCGCACGGGTCTTCCATCACGCCTGCTCGGCCTAGACCGTGCCATCTTGGGAGCTGCCCGGGATACAGCCTCATGAGGGTTTCGAGAGGCGCGTCCCAGGCAAGACTGTAACCGGTTGCCTTGATTACGTTCTGGATCAACTTGTGCCCGTCCAAAAGGAATGAGGAGGCGCCGGTTGCTTCCCATAGTCCGCGCAGTCCCGTGAGGAGTACGCCTTGATTATACGAGAGAACCATGTTATTCCGCTGATCGCACTTCGTGTTATTATTCCCAGTGTCGCTATACCCGCTAACGTGGAACCCGTCAGTGTAAAGGCCCCTACGGTCGGTCATGTTAGAATCAACAAGCCACTTATAGCCTTCCACAGCAGCTTTCAGGTATTTCGCGTCTCTCGGCCCGCTAGGCACATGAAGAGGGGATGCCTCAGGGTTGCCGGCACTAAAGAATGGTGAAGTGTTGTCATCTCCAGGGAAGTATAAATACATGGATATGGAAGCTGCGATAAATAGCTCGTTGGTAATGGCATTTTTATATGGCAAAAGACGAGGGTTCCAGACCATCCCGCCGCCGCACAGCTTTGTATCCCACCCGTGGGTTGCTAGATCCCAAAAAACTCGCGCACGATGAGCAAACGCGGGAACCCAGAGATTTCCATGGTAAGGCTGGTTCGAGAAGAAGTCATTGATTCCTCGATGTTTACTTGTCTCGGGCTTAGCAACCTCCCCTTGCTCATTTGACTTGAAATGAAGATCGCTGTGCATGCTCACCAGCTGAATGGTCTCGAGCCAGCCGAGCACCACCCAGAGGATATCATCGTATGCCTCGTTGCGGATCGCAAACGCGTCCTGTCCAAAGTAATACCCCGCAATCTGAGTGAAGTATTTGTCGACCAGATTCAACTCCAATTTCAAGTCTATAGCGCTTTTTTCGTCTGAGTTGATGTGCACCAACGCCTCGGAAAGGCTACGCACGGCCCCCGAGACGTAGGTACCCATAACGGCCGCGGTCCAGTCGATGGACTCGGGCCAGGTCCCGAGCCACGTCGCGAAATATTGCGTCTGCATGACATGCATTGCGTCAAGAAGATCGACGAGGACGTTCAGATCTGGGGAATGAGATCCTTTGTCCTTGTCGAGTCTCGCCAAATGAGGAGGCAAGAAACTTTCAGGCGCGATAGGATCGCATCGCTTGACCGTATCGAAGAAGATCGGGCATTCTTGTATCAATGACGACTTGTCCACGCCGGGGCTGGATAATCCATAGGTAGCGCTACCGGCAAACAGGACGGCGAGGAGGCATTTAACGCGAATGAGCGATGGAGCCATCTTGATAGCAAATACCTAATTCTAGGGGCAATGGGAAATAAGGATAAAGAATAACTAAATATCGTAAGCGGAGTTCAAACCATAGCGATCGGTACTATCGATATTGACTATTTAACGGAAGTCTGTATTCAGACATCAACATCAAAATAAACACGAAACAACAGTAAGCGTAGATAGATAGTAATTTAGTCGCAGATCGCGTCGTAGTACCGAGGTCTAATGAGGGATATCTCGATTTGTGCGACTCGACTGGAGCAAGGCTACGCTTCGGCGAAACGAGTTGAACACTCAAATCACCATCACATTACTTGTACGAGATACTTATGTAGTTTCGAAGATTGAGGCTGTAAAAGGGCTAAGTGAGATCTAAGATTCGAGATTCTGTGGATTCTGTGTGGTCGAAATTGTTGCCGCTAAAATGCCCGAGTTTACGAGGGATATTGTCAGACGATCTTTTTGCCTGGCCATTTTTCGAAAAATAGGAAGTTCGTCCGTGCGCAGCTCTGGAGCGTTTTTATTGGGTGCATCCTCGAATTTTCACGTGCTTTTCCAGATCCCCACTTTCATTTTTTTCTCGAAATACGTATCTTTTTTTTTTGCCATAACCTGGCTAGCTACGGTTACCAATTACGTAGCCACGTATTACATAATCCAAGTTTTACAAGAGCTTGGGTTCGAATCCTACATGCTCCTTTTTTTTCTTTTTTTTTTATCTTTCATTTTTTAAAAGAATTCTAGTAAAGCTTAGTGTTCGAGGTTGTCCCCGGCAGCAGCGGCACGTGATTCGTAAACTCGGGCTATTGTGGTGCCCCGCAGGGGTGCCCTCCTGTGTCAGCTGAGTGTGGGGTATATTGATCTAACCCAATTAGTACTAGCGGGATTAGTATGTTTTCAAGATGTCTTCAAGATGTTTTTTATCTTTTTTTATGACTCGAACTTATCTAAGTTGAAGTTGATAACCTCTTTTTGACTTTATTTTTCATCGTGATGCATACATCCCTAAATGTTTTTACACTTGTATATCAAGACTACTCTTAAATATCCTTGTTTGTAAGAACTAGGCCCGACCTTCTCTAGGTAATTATACGTACTAAGACAGTATTAACTTGTTAATCTTGTGCCTAGTCTCATCCCATCCCAGTAGCTTCTTAACCGCTTTCTCAACTTGATGAAGTACAGTTCATCCAACTCAGCTCCCAGTAACAATTTCACATTAACCCCCGTTAGCACAAAGACTCCAGGCATCAGCCCTATGAGCTGGCATTATTAATACGTCCAGAGATTAGCGGCTTAACTTGAATTCCGAATTCCGAATCCCGTAAAGAATACTATATAACTATATGCTGTGTCCTACTAACTCTGAGTAACTCATGTCTATAGCTTGGAATCATTCATTCTATACCTACTTATTCCTAGTTACTAGGTTCCATCTATATGATACTAGTTGAACAGCAATTTAGAAATCACCCTTCCAATGAAACAAAAGACTTCCCCTAGGCAATTTCCTGACATCATGTCTCCTATCAAGAAGGTCGCTATATTTGGTGTAAGTAATCATTTATTAGAATAATGAAGTTTATATCTTCCTCTTTATACATATTGCCTTACAGTACATCTCAACTCACTAACAATACTAGGCAGCGGGAAATTTCGGTACCCCCATCACAGCCGCGCTTGTGAAAGCTGGCTTCGATGTAACCATCATCACTCGTATTGAATCCACGTCAATCTTCCCGCCGGGAATTCCCGTTATCAGGACGGAATACACAGTTGAGAAGTTGACGACAGCACTGTCAGGCCAGGATGCAGCAATATCTGTTATCGGCCCTGCCGGTATCTCATTCCAGACCACGTTGGTCGACGCTGCCGAAGCTGCGGGCGTTCAACGCTTCGTATTAGACGACTTCGGATGGGGTCCTGGCTTTAACAGCTTACCTGAATTTAAACCGATCGGTGCTCAGAGGAAGGTCGCTTGGGAGCGAGTAAAGGAGCTGTCTCAAGCTAATTTTAAGTTTACCTTTAGTGGAATAGCTATTGGTAACCCTATCGACTGGGTAAAGTTCCTCGGAGTACACATCGTTTGACGATGGAATACTAATTAGAACGTACAGGCGCTCAAACGCTTTCCCTTAATGGGATTCGATGTCCAAAAGCGCTCTGCCGTCATCTACGACGACGGTACCGAAGAATTCACCGGGACAACACTAGAAGGGATCGGACAGGCTGTCGTTGGCGTATTAAAACATCCAGAGGAGACCGCAAACCGGTTCCTCAAGGCGCGCTCGATCCAAGTCAACCAAAACCAACTACTAGACGCCTTCCAAAAGGTCACGGGCCAAACATGGGAAGTCCAGCGTGGCAGTGCGAAAGACTTCCTCGAGAGCGGGAGGAAGAAGCACGAAGCAGGAGATAAGGGCTGGGTACTAGAGCTTCTCGTATACCAGCTATACGCGCCTGGAGACGCGCGCTGCATCCTGGCGTCGAGGGAAGATTCGGATGCGGATCTCCTTGAGATTAGGGAGGAAACTGCTGAATATATTGCTCGCAAAGTGTTGGACTCTATTGAAGATCCCTAAGGGGAGGGTATTATTTTCAAGACTAAATTTCACATATGTATCGAGTGCTTTGACTCCATTGGTCTCATTCTAGGAGTGAATGCATCTAAACAGTTGGTTAAGCAAGACTAAGTGGTTGTCTCAGGGATATATTGAATTCATTAGTAAACTCATGTGGACTCTGTTAGGAGAGAAGAATGAAGACATACCCACCTACCAGGTAGGTTAGGCATCTGATATGAAGAGAAAATTCAACGTATCACAACATAATCCCGCTTACATTGCATTAAAGCAAACCAAGAACATTGAATCTGAGGTTTAATAGGTAAAGCGTCACGTGATAATGACTTGATAAGGTGCTTTTGGTTATAATAACGCTTAAGAACTTGTAAGCCTTTCTGTGAACTTGCAACTTGCATCAAACTACAACCACACAAACGTACCTCTTCGGCTTATCATGATACACCTTTTCAAGGCATCAGCCCGTATTAATTGTGTTCCATTATCATTTTCTCTTCGATTTCAAAAAGTTAGATCGAATTTGAATACGCGGCTAAGCGCTGCATCTTTTCACACATCAAATGCGATGGAGGGAGACAATCGCTTCGAGTACAAATGGATCGATGGTGTAGAGTCGCTTGAAAAATACAGGCCTGGAGGCTATCATCCCATCATGATTGGAGACATGCTCCACGATCGATATCGCATTGTGGATAAGTTGGGGTTTGGAGGCTATTCTACAGTCTGGCTTGCTCATGATAGTCTCTTGGGGCACTATGTCGCCGTTAAAGTCGGCATAGCAGATTCACTTCCAAACGAGGTGAAAGTTCTTCGAGCGCTTTCTACAGACCTACCTTCGTCATCGCCAATTCATCGTGGCCGCAATTTAGTCGCTTCGCTCTTAGACGAATTCAAAATAGATGGGCCGAATGGGACGCATCAGTGCTATACGATGACCCCCGCACGATGTAATCTCAGCGAGATTTCCTTCAGCCGTCTTTTCCCTCTTGAGGTCGCACGGGCGCTGTCCTTCGGGCTCGTGCTAGCCATTGGGTACACACATTCAAGAGGCTACGTTCATGGAGGTCCGTTAGAGTGATGATTATGATGTTTGCGACTTTGATCTCAACTAACGCCGACGGCATTTCTACACAGATGTTCATCTTCGGAATGTACTGCTTGGACTACCTTCAAGCTTCGACCAGCTTTCAATTCAAGAACTATATGAGGAATACGGGGAGCCAGAAGCTATTCCTATTGTGCGACGCGATGGAAACCCGCTTTTGCCCAATGCCCCAGCGAAGGCAGTGACGCCGCTCTACCTTGGCGAAGATGCAGGGAAGCTCTCACTATCCGATGTACGTGTGCTTTTAAGTGATTTTGGGGAGGCATTTACACCGACCTCTGAAGTCCGCCGAGGAAAAGACTGCCATACGCCACTTGCTATGCGACCCCCAGAAGCCCGCTTTGAGCCCGAGGCTCCGCTCTCATACTCGGCAGATATTTGGAGCTTGGCTACAGCAATCTGGGATATTATTGGCATGAAGGCTATTTTCAACGGTGAATTCGCGACTGCGGATGATGTTGTATCACAGCAAGTTGATGTGCTAGGACCTATGCCCTCAAAGTGGCGAGAGCGCTGGGAGGAACGGTCTCGATTTTTCGATGACAATGACCACCCAAAGGACGGCCGGTATGTGTGGCCTCCGATCGAAGAAGCATTCGAAGAAGGCATCCAGAAATATCGCCGGAAGTTAAGAGTGGGGGAGTTTGACAAAGAAGAAGCCGCAGCTATTCTTGATTTGATGCGCCGGATGCTGACGTTTCTACCGGAAGAACGACCGTCGATAGAAGAAGTTCTAAAGTCGGAATGGATGGTTAAGTGGGCTTTACCCGATTTTGAGAAGGCTCTACAAACCCATACTTAGGTAAATAACATTGTCATGCTATCAATTTAGACATTGGGGGACATGTTCTTTCTAATTAGATGCAACGTAAAACCCAAGATATATTTCCAGCTATCTAATATGAAGTCTAAAATTCATGCTCATCTCTCCATTTCACATCCACTTTCTCCTTAATCCTAGGGTTCCTCGGGTAAATGCGAGTGGCCTATTGGACTATATTTGTATTCTTCAAGAAGATTTGCAGACGGCCAAACGACTTTGCCGGAACTCCTGCCTCCCCGAGGAGTAGTGTCTGCTTTCTCAGGAGTATGTGTTGCCTCAGTAAGATCGAAGCTTTGTTGGCCACCAGTGTATCCATGCGATACGACATGATTTTCGGTCGTCACATGGTCACCATATTTGTAGGCAATAGTAACGTGAAAGCCTAGGGGATCTATCGCATGCTTCCCGTCGATAGTAGTAGTATCATGAATTCCGGATCTAATACACAGCCTTATTAGCAATGGTATTATGTCAACGGACATGATTTTGATACATGATACATAGGTATATGCTAAAGTTATAAAGTAGCTAGGAAAAAAGTACTAGCGAAGAAAGCAAAATAGGAAGAAGGCTAGGTAGCGGTAGATCGAAACGGACATACCGAATGAGAATTGCTGTAGGGGCCAGTGTCTTGTCTCGAGCTGTCGCGTAGGCCAAGCCTACTAATTTCTCTTTTATCACTGGGTCTATTGTGTTGCCAGCATAGAAGTAATACCTCACGAAGTGGATCCCACCTCTAGCAGCCATTGTATTTTGATATGATAAAAAGCTAATCCAAAAGCTGGAAAGAAATACGAGTGATAGTATTGACGAGTGATAGTATTGGCACTAATCCAAGTCTGTAGTTCAGGCCAAAATGATATCAATTCAGAAAAAAGAAGGGATGGAAAAGCAATCTTTCTTTTCTTGCGTACTATACAGGACTTTTAAGGGTGTGTGTGCATACATGGATTGCTTACCTTACAGCTACTTGAAAATATAAACCTGTCATGAGGCCCAAGAAGTGCAAATATAATGATAACTGCAGCTAAGTACCTAAGATTGTAAGATATTTTTATCATCACCGGGTTGGTTATCTTTTTCTCAGGCCAATGATCTTCGACACAGTCATGCAAAGGGGTCATCACACCATACGTAGAATACTAATAGTCGAGTTGTACAAACATCATAAAGAAATAGTATGCGAGCTGAGATATTGAAAAAAATACTTTATTGTTTTAGCGAGTGACCAAAAGTTGTACTTGGCTGTAACTCACTTTTAAATCACAAGTACATAGTGTGTTGAAAATAGCTATCTTCGAACTGTGAAAATCAACTTGTTCAGTCTGTAATTCTAGTTGAAGACTTCTGTATAATGTACGTACCTAGGTAAGTACAAAATGATTAGTCTTAAAGGGTACGCGCCTATATGTAGAGCAGCTCTTATCCAAAGGGCTATGAGCGAAAAACCGAGTTAGAAGCCCTGCAACAGTTATATTCGTTACTCCATCCGCCAGCTTCAACCAATGCTGATTCGAAACGCCCGAGTTATTAACCCATGCATTCGAGCCATCTGCTGATACTTCGTTATGCCCATTTTCATTGGCATACTCAAACAACTTTCCAATTCCCAGTTCAGGGGACCCGTCGAGCCCTAGTATCCCGTACAGAGTCGTAACAGGGTCCCACGACTCGCGAGTGGTGCTGCACCGGCCCACGTACCATTGATACGCCGCGAGTACGGGCGAGTCTGGCAGCGCGTAGTCTGCGAGTTTGTCGCCGGAGAAGATGTTGTCGCTGAGCTCGAACCCGGAGTATGTAATGGGCACGTGGCGCGGCCAGTTATTCACGACGTCATATGTGGATGCGGGATCGAAGCCGGCAAAATTGAATTCCCACCCGGAAGGGTACCGGCCGCCCATGACCACTAATTCTTTAACCTTTGTAGATATGAGAGAGGCTCCTGTAAGAGACGCAATGTCATCAGAAGGGCTATTAATTAGTGTAGCCAGGTTAGTCAAGAAGCCAATTGAGATTAATGTTATGCTGTGATCTTCTGCAGAGGACAGGATCCTGCGGTACATCTCAACCGGCGTTGGTGTTACAGATGAGTCGTTCAGGGAACGAGGCCAGTTATGAGCTGTCTTGCTGGCATATTCGCTTAGACTATATTATAAACCATTAGCATATTTCGCGAACTGAATTGCCATGTACATAGGTAAGGTAGGTAATTTACACGAAGTCCCGCTTATCGAAGAACGTCTCGTCCGTGAACGGACGGATTGCGGCGATAGGGACATCTCCATTTCCAAAGTACGTATTAATAACACTAACGGCCAATGCGCCGTACTCCGAGTGCGTATTCACAGCGACTCCCCGCAGGTCCGCCAGGCCGTAGTTATGCAGCACATTGGCAACGGCCAAGGAGCCCACGTCGTCGACGTCGGAGAAGATGTCGGTGTCTATTACGATAGGCTTACCGAGACGATTTGAAATGTCCTCCGCGAGTGCGGACGAAGAAACCGTCCATAGGAAAAAAGCAATTCGACCGATAAGCATGTCCGCGCAAGCAATTAATAAGCGGCTGTACGAAGTATGCGTCTTGTTAAAAATTAAATTAGAGGTACATGTAGGTAGGTACATAGGTAGAATGAGCGGGGAAAGTGATGGCTGAAAGTAGCGGACAAGTTAAACATACAGTTCGGCAGCTACATGTACCCAGGCCGACTTTTATGTCGGTAGCTTAGACCGGGAAGGCAAGGGGGGTTACTTACCCGTCGATACAAACGACGAAATATAGGTATATATGAGGTAGTTATGTACGTAGGGGCTTTTGCTATATTAAATGTGAGTTACACAATTAAAACCGAATATAACAATTATATACTTTACTCCGTAATAGAGACCTCTATACTTGAATCAATTAACTTTATATATATCCTTTTCGACAACCAAAACTATAAGTCTAAATTCGCACTCAAGGCGATAATATATTAAACCTCAAGCCAATCCCACCATGCCTACCACCTCATCCCTCCACGCGCAACTCGATGCCCTCTACGCCACATGGGCCAACCTCTCCCCCTCCTCACCCCCAGCCGAATTCGACAAATTCGCCAACTTCTTCGACGACAACTGCCGCGCATGGCTACTAAGCATGCGCGAGCTCACAACGCCCAGCATCGGCCGCCAGGGCGTCGTCGACGGCATCAAAGAAGCTCTCAAGGACCAGCGCATCGAGGAGCGTCGCGTAGTTGATCGGTTTGAAAGCGCGGATGGGTCGAAGATCTCGGTGGAGATGAATAATCGGCTCGTAGTGCACGGAAAGGAGTTAGATCCGTTCCCGGAGACGGCTACGGCGGTGTTTAACGAGAAGGGTCTTATTACGGACTTTAAGGTGTATTGTTGTCGGAGCCCTGTTGTGCAGATTGTGCAAGATGTTACTGGCGAGGGTCCTTATAAGTGCCACCCAGTTGATGGCTGAGTGTGTTAGGTTGAATATTAGATGGGAATACGGATATAAAATAGACAAGCCGTGAATTGTTATAATATATATGCTAACCCTAATCAGAGAGCTGCTAGATGCGAGCTGGGAATAATATAGTGAAGACATGATGGAATGATGGAATTGTCCTCTCGTAACGTCTAATCTTACACAGCCTCAAGCTGAGACTTAAAGCAAAAAGCGCAGTATGTAAATTCTTAATCATAAATCGATCCCACTCCCGAATACTCGAGTAGTATTCTTTATAAGTTAGTCAATAGTATCAAGATAGATCATCTTCGAATGGAACTTCGAATTGTAAATTTGTTCCAGAATTCGTCTCATATAAACATAGGTATTCAAATCGTCCCCATAACCCTACCTACCTTACCTAACCTAGGTAGGTTTCCGCCGTAGAGCGTCCACTGTTCGTCCGCTCACGTTGTCCAGTCCCCTGAACTCCAGTTGAGCTTGAAGACATTGCTCATTCAAAATTCCCACATGATATACAGCCAATTTAAGTCATTTCACCAGTCCTATGTGCCGTCCTGATCCCAGATCAAAAATTCCAGTATATTCATAAAAAGCGACGTTCAAACTCTCGGTAAAGTTTCGGGCTGATCTCATCACTGCTCATGCCGTGGACCTCCCATAGGACACCCTTTTTGGCGTAGTGTTCGAGTAAAGGTTCGCTCGTTTCCTGGAATTTCCGGAACCGCGCCCTATACACCTCCTCGGTATCGTCGGCTCGTTGTACTAGAGGTTCTCCCGTGATATCGTCGAAGCCCGGTATTTTTGGCGCATTAAATGTGGTGTTGTAGATGCGGCCGGATGGCTCATGAACCCAGCGAGATGATATGCGCTCCATAATGACGTCGAATGGCGTCTGTAAGGAGACTACCCAGTTAATAGGTACAATGTCGTCTAATCGTTGAGCCTGTGCGGCGGTACGAGGGAAGCCATCAAGTAAAAATGAAGCAGCGGGGTCTTCGGATGCCTGCGGAGATAAGCTTGCCCCCGCAAGAGGATCGACCTCGAGTGCGGACCCAAAAGCATCCACGCCATCTAAAGAGGCGGCCTCGGACGATGACGAAAGGGTCATAAAATTCGGTCGTCCGCCATAGAGCCAACCACGACGGCCCAACTCGTTTGTAATTAAGCGTAATATCAGGTCATCAGAGACCAATTCGCCAGTCTTCATCGTCTTCTCGACCTTGATACCGAGAGGCGTCCGATTTTTAACATTGTGGCGAAGCAAGTCTCCAGAGGAGATAGCCGATAGCTGGGGAAAGCGGGAGAGAAGTCGCTTGGACTGGGTGCCCTTCCCTACGCCTGGTGCTCCGACGAGGATGACGCGGGCGGCTCGGCGGAGGCGCATAGTACGCAGGAAAGATCTGGGGAAAGTTGAGATGCGATCGGCGATGATATCCGCGAAAGAGGGTCGCGGGAAGATTCGGGTGTCGCGAACGATGTAGTGTAACGCAGGAGATCTAAGATTAAGCTTCTAGATCACGATGGCCTTGGGCGACGATGCAGGACGGTTCGGCGCAATATACTACTGGAGGAGTATATGAGCACAGGGCACTCGGCGACCACGGAAGGACCTAGGTGGGAGGGAAGACGGCGTGAATCAAGAGGAGTCCATTGTGTTAAAAGGGTATAAAATTTTATATGGTAGGTAGTAGTATAGTAGGTTAGGTATATTGTAGGATTAAGGGTATATAAACGTAAGAAAGATGGGCGATGGGCAGATGCGACTGCGCGTTGCAGCAGAGGGGGAAGGATTCCGTTTATGCAGGAAGGGAAAGATCAACCAACGAGATTTGCGTAGAAACTCATCAAAAGCTTGTCATACAGTCCCACCAATTGTTGAGATTATTCGATACCCGAAGACCGGACTTTCCCCAGCTTAGGCTGCAAGGCCCTGAAGACCCACAGAAAGCTCGGGCCAAGCTTGGTCGGGGCAAGTCGGGGTTACCAATAGGACGGCTAAGGTTAGATGGTCGCTAATCTGATAAGAAACTCCGGACAGATTAGATACGTACCATCATATGCTTATTTCTTAATATTGACTTATGGAATATCTCGAGTCAAAACCATCATAATATTAGGTACTTAGGAATATAATTTATATATATAATTTATTAAGAATTGAAACGATCATTTCGGCAATCTAGCTTAGGTTACATGATCGTTGTCACATTTTAACATGCCTTACGTAGGCTGTGCAATTATATGCCGTATCCCCGTAACATCTCAAAGAACGAAAATACTAAATACCTAGCTTTAAACGTTTGTAGGTAATATTTGTTCTGCATCTCTTACCCCGCATACCCCAGACTCGGACGTCGTCATGCTAGAGTTCAAGACATTCTAATGTTAGTGTTCATGTTCCGTAGCCCCGGTTTATCCCGGTAACATGTGAAGCCGTTCGTCCTCGGCCTTCATAACGTGATCGACGTCAGGGCTCGTCAAGTGCATAGGACCGGTCTAATACTATAAAACCTACGATCTAAAAATTGTACTATATCTAATTCTTGACACACATGTCAAGCCTAGAGTTAAAACTACCTAGGCAAGAATAAGCATAGCATGATTATTGGCGAGGCTATCCTATTGTAAGGTCTGTCGATAAACTTTGCCGAGCTATTCCCAATATACGTCAAGTATGTCATTTCTGGGAAACTATTATCGTGTGTGTGTGGTAGCGATGGACCACAGCGGCATCCTTGGTGCTTTAGCATGGCAAGCCCATTGTCTTCCAACACGTCTGTTCTACGTGTTCTCGGGGTCCAACTGACAAGTTTTGATTCTTTCGAGGAAATAGTACGATATGAAGTTAATGAGGAGAATATTCATTTCTTGAGCCAATCCGATACGGCCAAACTAATCCATAGTACAGCCCCAGCGTATTCGACAGGCCAGCCAAATACGTCCCCCAATCCGTAAAGAGCTTTTGGATATACCATATCATTAGACGTGTCCTAACGTCCCGGTATCCATATCGTACAATCGTTACAAGGGCCCGCTGTGGCTTCATCGCATATAGGTATAGCATCATAAAGCGCTCTTCCTTCGCATTAACCACCAAAGCCAAACCCGGCGCCGCCAGCTCCTTTACTTTGCATTTCTTGCTGCAATAGTTCTGATACCTTCATATGTACGTCGAAAAACTTTGCGGCACATCGGTCGAGGCAGACGCTTTCGCCCTTGTTGAGGTCGGATTCTCGGTAGTCATTGGGGACACATTTCTTCGCACATGCTTTTGTGAGACTATGAGATGGTTGGTATTAGCCTTAGCCCGTTCTTGAAGGTTTAATTGTCAAGGCGTGACGCTTGGACACCCGGGACAAGAATCTTACCGGTCGTGCATCTGGGTTAAGAGCTTCATCTCAGCTTGGACAGCTGCGATCTTCTCCTCCGAAGTGGGCTGTGGTCTTCCGAAGCCGAGGAAAGACATATTGGGCGGTTGATGTAGGACTGTTTTATGTGTGACTTCTTGGTTTGCGAGCTTTTATTTTCGTGACGCAGAACTTGAATAAAGTGTCTTGATAAGCTTGAAGCTTTTCGATAAAAGATATCAAGCTTAGGTAACCAATCGTCAAATTTAGAAGGCGGCGTCCGGATTAACAGCAATCCCCGGAGAAACTCCGGCAAAATAGGTAAGTTCCAAGAAATCATGCAACTTAAAATCTTTTTTTTCTTCACTCCACATTCATTTGACAACCTGAATAAAAGCAAGGCGGTATTAGTTGTCAGCGTTCTTAGAGGTAGCTTTGCGGTAGCGGAGCAGGCCTTTTCTAAGTGTAAGTACAATTATGAATTTCTTATAATCGTCAAAAGTTCATCGTGATGATACCTACTGCTTTAAGAACCGTTGCGACTGACACCATTTTGTGGTGCTTGATCTCAATTAGCCAACCTATCTGAATTTGTTCCATCATCTTCTTTATAATTTCTACAATAAGATTATGATTGTAGCTAACATTCTCCAGTCTCTCAATGGACAACGGGCTCTACTTGAAGTTCCTGCGCCCATATCTGTTCCAAATACCATCACCCCGGGCACCTGTCTATGCACGGTTCTTTTCTGTCGGTTATCGTGATCCGGCAAGGAGTAAGGCCTCACACAGCCCAAAACCACATAATGTATCCCGGCACAGATGTATACATAGCTCAGTACCCAAGAGGTCCGCAACGGCCAACTCTGATGCGCCCACGAGTGATCCGGTAGCCCCAATCACCCGTCAGGTTAATGTTGATCTCCGGGTTCAGAAGTTAAAAGAATACAATGTGCTTCATTACCCAAGACTTGGCTCCCGACCTAACCGGATAAGCATACCTAGCTTTCAGGAAAGGTACCGAGATGTAGCCACTACACCAGCCTCCGAGGAGGTTGTTCTGGAGGGCCGGGTCATGTCCGTAAGAAGGTCTGGGTCGAAGCTAGTCTTTCTCTCCATTATGGGTGGATATCAACGAGTCCAAATTATGATTAGTCTAAGTCAGCTTTCAGATCCGAAGCCTGAACCTCAGCAATTCAAGGACGCTCTCCATCCATTCCTTCGTGGTGATATTATCTCAGCCAAAGGTACGGCAATACGAACAGACGCCGGTGAACTAACATTAAAGGCAACCGAGCTCCCCACACTGCTTAGTCCTGGTCTAGCACCACTTCCCGAGAAGTTGGTCAACCAGGAGACTATGGTCTTGAATAAACATTTGGATCTGCTCGTTAACCAACGAACCTCGGATACGTTTCGCCTCCGCTCTAATATCATTAAGTGCATGCGGGATTTCTTCCACGAGAAAGACTTTTTAGAAGTTCAAACCCCTGTCTTAGCGGACTACGCTGGTGGGGCAGCAGCCCGTCCATTTCTGACCTCAGCCACGGAGTTTGCTCAAAAAGAGCTTGCATTGCGAATCGCCCCTGAGTTGTGGCTCAAGCGCCTTGTCGTTGGTGGAAATGATAAGGTCTTCGAGATTGGCCAATGCTTCCGCAACGAGGGTATCGATACTACCCATAACCCAGAATTCACCATGTGCGAGTTCTATTCTGCTTATTCCAACCTAGACGATTTGATTTTGATGACTGAGGATCTAATCACCCGTCTTGTCAAACATGTTGAACACCTTGCGGAGAGTCAACTTAAGTCCCTTGAGAAGTCGAAAATACAGTTGCCCCAGGAAAAGTGGAAACAGGTTGAGTTCATTCCAGCATTAGAAGAGGTCCTCGGAATCCAATTCCCAGATCTCTCAGAAGATGACGCGCTTCCTAAACTCATAGAACTCCTAGACGGTCGAACGAGTTTCGCTCAAGGGTCTCAATTGACACTAGCCAGGCTTCTAGATGATCTTGCTGGCGAATATCTAGAGCCGTCGTCTCATGATGAGCCTCTTTTCATTATTCACCATCCTGCTTGCATGGCGCCCCTCTCTAAATCATTTACATGTCCTAAGACCGGCCAACTCGTATCCGCTCGCGCCGAGTTATTCATACAAGGCCGCGAGATTGCTAATATGTACGAGGAGGAAAACGACCCGTTCGAGCAGAAGCGTAAGTTTGAGTTGCAGCTTGAGTCACAGAAGGACAAGCCAACAACAGCAGGCGAGGGGCCCGCCGAAGTAGATGAGAGCTATGTCCACGCTTTGCAGTACGGACTGCCACCCACAGGGGGCTGGGGTTGCGGTGTTGATAGGCTGGTAATGATGTTCTCCGGGGCACCGAGGATTGGTGATATTCTCAGTTTCGGGACGTTGAGGAATGTTGTCTCGATACGCCAAGCTGCCAAGGAGCATTAATGGCTACACAACTAGACAATATAGAAATAGAAACGATACCCTTTGCATATAATACCAAAACTTGTCCATTCGTCAGCAGTGCATGGCTACATAATTCGTCATTGTGGAACCTAAGGACAGAGGCCTGTGTAAATGTATCAGTGAGTGCCCATACTCCGTCTTGATGGGCGACTTCGATACTGATGCTAAGCTGTTCTAATTACTACGTGAGTTGAGCGCTGCAGCCAATAAAAGAAGACTAACAAGCTAGAGACAATAATACAAGCAGTAGTCTAGAAATCCGCACTCGAATGACCTTCTCAAGATGATATCAGAAGAATCGGAGAACCTGACTTTTTCACTCAGGTTAAATGAGCTTAGGATATTTTAGCATAATATATCATGTAATTTCCATGCAAATGCTATAGCGTAGCTTCCTAAGAATTCCCATGAATATTGCGTTACTACTTCCTAACTTTGCAATGTGTCTCCGCCTCTAAAACCTTTCCGGGTCGGTGTGGGTCCAACCGGCACGGAGCCGATTAAGTTTTTATTTCCTATTACAGTAACCCCCGCCTCCGCACCCCGTGTCTCCTTAAAGTCGCCATTTAGGGAATCCCCCGAGCCCTAGAGTTAGCCATTCAGGCCCGTTTCAGCGTCGTAGCTATTACTTTCTAGTCCATTTTATAAGAAGCACATTGTCACCCATAACAGTGTCTGTAATCTCGCGACATCATCAATTTACTACCAGAAGTACCGATAGAGTAGATATACGCGAAAATAGCAGAAGGAAGTAAATAAAGCATCGCATGCACCCGAACTCCTCTTGACTCCGCCACTATTCTGTGGTGTTTGGGTATCATCTCCTCCCATATCCTGCGCTCTGTCCCAGTCTTACGCCAAGGCTCTCTGAAAACCCGACTGTCTGCTATATGGCCCGTGCTGTAAAATTCTGGGTCTATCTAATAGGTTAGATACCTGGCTCTAGTCCTAGTTGTCTGATTTCCACCGTATGATGATGTCCAGATGGTGTATAGGACAGCTGAGGAAAATGAAAACTCCAGAGGAGCGCAGCGCAATGTATAAGGATGTTGGCCCTTGGTTCTTGGCACTGTCTGTATGTCGAAGAAGCACAAGCTGATTCCTTGGGAAATAGAATGATGAATTCATTCATAGAGCACGGATGCGTGTATTACGCCGCTTGTTGAAAGCTGAAAGGCGTAAGGAAAGGCATGTATATAGCCTCCGAGGATTGGGCTTCGTGCTCAGGGAATGAATGTTGAATGATTCCATGGTGGCCGTCAATAGCGGTCACTTAGAAGGACAAGCTTGAAAACTTTCCTTTAAGCCATGAAGAAGCAAGTAGGGAAAATGTAATAAGAGCGAGCTTAGAAGATGCCGCCCCGAGTCTCCCACACATGGCGAGGGCCAAGGTTTTCGATCAGTCCAGCTTCGATCTGAACAATCTCTCGGTACTTCTTGATCTCGTCGTCCCAGTTAGCAGCCAGTGTAGTCCCGAATCTTCCTGTCATCTGCGCCAAGCCGCACCGGGCGCGTTCCTGCACGATGTAGCGCTCGATGCTATCCACCGTGTTACGGTTCTGTCTAATCTCGAAAGCATTCTGGAGGTGTCCGTTGTAGTATAGGTCGTCTAAGATCCCGATATCCTTCCTACAGTCGGCAATGGCCTCCATGGATTGTTTAAGCCCCTCGTCTATGTTGCGCTTTGCGTATCGCATCGCTTTCACGACGCGCTCTTTCCACACCCAGATCTGCTTCGCCTCCTCATCGTGGCTGGGACCGGGTCGCCAGTCCAGGATAAAAGCCTCTTCGTTGTCGGGTCGTGCTGCTAATACTTCGTCTTTTGTTTTGACGGATATGAGCCAGAAGTCGAACTTTGGATTGCGAAGTTCTTCGGGCGTAGCGGTCCTCTTGGCGTTGAGGAAACTGCTAATATCCGTGATCTGTTCGTCATCGAACAGGAAATGCATAACTCCCTTCCTCTCCTGGAAGAAGTTATCAACATGGTGCTCCAGTTGAGTGCCGAGTTGACAACCGCAGCACTCAACTTGGTCCGACTGGCGGTCTATCGATTCCTGCGTAAAGAAATACGCGGGCAAGGGGGTTGCGCAGAATGCACATGTTATAAGCTTGGAAAAGCCTTCACTCATGGTTATGGCCACCAAGCGGTCCCGTTGCATGGGTTTGCCCTCAACCGCCAGTATGAGATCATTATAGACGGTGCAACGCATTGCTTCGTGTCGGGGCTCGTTATTATCGAAGACTATACCTTGTTTTAAAGCATCTTTAAGAAACGGGTAGTATAGACCATGTTCGTGGTAGTAGATGTTATAACAGGCCTCGAGGATATATCGAAGTGAGCCGAGGGCGAAGGGGATTCGTTCTAGATACTGTCGCATGGCAGTGCCAGGTGTGAACCAATCTATATCATTCTTCAAGGCGAGAGAGACAACCTTACGCAGTACTGCCACAATGGCTCTGCGAGTATCTATCAATCCTTGGTCCGACGGTATGACCCCGTATTCTCCAGTTCTCCCTTCCGAACCCACGGGAAGTCCGGGGTAATAGACAGGCGAGAAGTCAGATCGGACGAATTTGTTCCCGGGCTTCTTGTTGTGCGCGATTATGGCTTTCAGGAACGGGACGGTCTCGCCGAAATGCAAAAGTACACAATTGTAAACTCCGAGTATTTCTAAGTTCGGCATCCGCTCAAGACATTTCTTGAGAAGGGGAATGTCGAAATTTGGAACGGAGTGGAGATGGAGGATTTTGATCTGATGGCCACGAACATCGATTGTTCGCACTAAATACCTGTTAGCTATACAAGTCACCTCAGATCGAAATACAGACTTACAGAATCGGTAAGTATCAATTACTCTCCTCTCTGCGGTCGGCCTGGAGATCTTTCCCTTTGGACGAGCGGGAAATCCAAAGCTGTCCGGCTCGTCCTCCCCGTCCTCCGGGGCCTTGTAGAGTGGTCTGACATTCGAAAGGACCAGGAAATGCGGTGAGGAGGGCTTTATAAATTTACCCTGCTCTATCTCTTCAGGGGTTAATCCGGCGTTGGCTTTATCGATCTCGGCGTCGCTGAATTCTAGGTTGAGGAAGTTGCCGCTAAGGACGTCTACACGTGTCTACACAAGTGTTAGTTTCCGGTATAACTCTTTACTTCATGTCGGGTATCTTACTGAGATAGCATTGAGTGCAAACATAATAGTTTGACATGTGCGACTAAGGTTAGACAAGTCTCCCCAACGATGGCCAATCTCTAGCATGATCGATATGCAAAGTTCTGGTATCTCAAACACACTGGTAAGAGCTGTAGGTTGTGTATGCTTAGGCTTAGAAAACTGCCCTGGCTTAAGGCCGTCCTCGGGTATTGAAGAGATAGGATCACACCGCGGCAACAGCGGTGCCTATGAATAGGTTAGTGAAAGCCAAGGATATCTTCGATAGGTTTACTTACACTCATGACCGTGCCCGGGATTGCCGGGTAATTGTTTAGGCGAAGCAGAGCCTTGACTAGACTACTGGTAGGGGCCCGTTGCTTGGTAGCGTACTCCGGATTATTGAAGTCATCACGCAGGGGATGGCGTAAGATGTTCATCTTAGCACATTCGTAGACATCCTCATTAGATCGAGCAAGTCCATGATCAAAATCACCGCGGTCGCGACGATAGAACATAATGAAGTGGGATCCTTTCCCGGCCCTGTCTTTTCGGTATATATGAGTGGTGGAACCGAAATTTCCAAAGCGGAACTTGATTGCATTCTCGATAGAGGCTTCTACTGCCGTTTGGTACTGCTTACCAGCACCACCTTCCGGGGAGGGTTCCTCAGGCTCAAGGAAGAAATGATGTTGGTTCGCCGTTGCGTAACTCTGAATGAGATTCGGGTAGGGGAGGGTGCCAGAGCGGCGAATGTCTTGGATGTAGTCCATCGCGATGATGAAGCTTTTGAGATTCAGTGTTGCTAGAATACGCAGTTAGCTCGGGCCTTATCAAGCCCTCGAGAAAGGCAAATAATAGTTGGAGTGTCAGTAGTAGGATTCTATTCTTCAAGGTAAGTCATGAAGTATGTATGTCCGGTTGTACTGAAGTAAATAATGAAATACCAAAACGTACTATGACCAACACTGATCTCTAGTTAAGATTAACCCAGCTTCAAGTATCAGACTCAACCCTTGCTGATCTACGAGTTAGCGTATAGCCGCATGCAGATAATTAGATCATAGAGTTTCAATACAAATAAATATGATCTGATGTGTTAAAGGGGGAAATATTAAGTGTTGGTAAATGCCAATGGCATCACTAGAGACGGTAAGAGGAAGGAGCAGAATGTGGTGGGGAAGGGGGAAACCGGTCCTCTTGAGCAGGTAGATACCGCGTATTCATGCCCATGACTGTATGGCATTGGCCAAGGGGCAATTAAAGGGGCGGCTGTAGCGCTTGGTAATAGTACTCAGTGTAGGAAAGGCCAATGGCATTAAACATTCATTGGGAACTCGGTGGGCAGCAGAGACGATAAATAGCAGAAAAATATTATGACGAGGCGAAAAGGGAAGTCAATTGCATACCTGATTGAGAACGAGGGGGCTTTCGGGTTGAATCTTGCTGCAGAAGGGTAGGTAGATTACTGCGTACGACTGTTAGTTTCAAGCGAAGACGAGGCGATGAGAGTAAACGACGTTGAATAAGGCCAATAGAGATGCTTGGTACTGAGGGATGGGTCCAAGGATGAATATGAATATTTAGGGAAAATTAGGATTGAAAAGCCGGTAGTTTTTGAGAGTTGTTAGAAATGGTATGTGAAATAAATACCAGTGCGAGTCGATAGAGTTTAGGGATGTACATAGAAAACGTCTGTTCGAGGCAAATGTGAAACTACTTACTTAGTGAGCGATCAGGTGATCGAGGCTAATACCAGAGACGATCCTGTATAAACTAGGTGTTAGTGCTTGCTATATATGGGATTAACGGTGGAAAGTCGTTCGTGTGTACGGTGTAATGTTGTACGGGGAAGAGTTTTGCCAATAGCTAATGTTTGTTATGACCATTTGTGAATGATACACCACCGCTAGGCAAAATGGGGTATGGTTATGATTGATGATAATGGTGACTTCTATTAGATACTAACGCTGTGGTATCGTGAAGGAAGTTGCTTGGGGAGTGATGGTGTAATAGGGGGAAACGCAAGTCGGGATACACAATTGCTGGTAGTAACAGAGGATAAAATACGAAGGACTTACATTCGTTTCGACTTGAAAGAGCGCGTAGAATAATTTATTCCAATGGGGAGGATATAAGTGGCAACAATGTGTACGAGGAAGGGACCTAGAGGGTTAGTTACCTAAAATAATCAGATTACTAAATGTAAGGTCGGTAGGTTAAGTCAATTCAGTTAAGAATGTGTACGCACCTATAACCTAAGCCATGAAAGGCCGAGGCAGGGCTGTTGCTGCATGAACTGACGGGTCGGATACGATGGTGTTTGGATTGGAAGGCGGGTCTTAGGGAAGGATACCACGAATACGATGAAAAGTAGGGTAACGTAAAGAAGTGTAGTAGTCAAATAGACCCACTAGCTAATCGTGGGATCTGCTAGATGATATAAAATCAATTCCCCGTGAGTCTAGGAAAGTGAAGCAGGAAGGTAGAGACTGGGAAAGGAATGTTATACGGTGTGGGTGCCAGATGTTTTTCGAAATTGGCAAAGCTCTCGCGCCCAACTAGAAGAAATAATAATATCATATCTAGGGAAGTTGTACTTCGAGGCCAGTTTATTTAAATTAAATAAAAAGTAAACGATATGGGGAGGTAGTTACGAGGAAAGAGGGAAGTGTCCACGTTCAGCTAGGAGAATACCCAATTAGTGTACAGAGCACAGTACCATATACGTACATGTAGTCCACCGTAGGCTACGTACCTGACATATTTATCTAGCTCATCTTATGAAAAATATAAGGCCTAGGGAAAAGCGTTCATGCCGTTATTATCGTTATTTACGTACCTTGGTAGCCCTGGGGGATGTTGGTGATGGGCATTTAGCACCTACCTGTAGTGAAGTAGCCAAAGAAGAATCATCATTAGTTTATAGAAGCATTCGTAGATGATATAGCCTAGGTATATAGGTACACATTCTCTAGTGCCTTGCAATAAATGTCCCTTCATATGACGCGTCTTAGTTGACGAAAGAGGGTAGGCAACGTACATACCCCATCATATTCTCGTGAGAGGTATGGCCATCGTAGCCTACACTTGCCCTCGAAATATTTATGGGGGATTAGTGGCTAATACACAGTGTAATAGACGATATAATTAGTGCGGCTCATCGAAGTCACTTCCGAGTACCTGGGTGGCTTCTCCTAAGATTGACTCCCATCAATGCCTACAATACCTTTCCCCACGAGTCACATTGAAGTTTGATCATAATAGAGAGGCATAGAGACTTGCTCGGATTAACCAAAGTATTTAGGAAATATAACAATTTATAGCATATCAACATAAACTTTTGTCGTACTAAATATCTTATGCCCACGAGATTCCTCTTCCCCACGCATCCACCCCTCGAATTCCTCGCAATTGCACCTACCTCAACCAGCATGGGACTTGCTTTACCAAGCGGTACATTTTGCCCCTCGTGTGACTTAGGTACGAGAACCCCTATTATTCTCTCCGTACTAATTGAGAATGTAGTCAGTCATACTGGCTATCTTTAATTCTTACCATACTGTAAGAATCTGTCTCTGCTTGTTATTTTGTCTCCTATCTCTTCCTTTTCCTACCAGTAGGATAACCTGGGATAGCACGTGCTAACTAATTCTGCAAACTAGAAATAATGAATTCAATAACGAACAAAGAGAATTTTCTACATTCAAGACCAAACTCCAATTCAAAACCATGACTTTATCTTCTGTCGCAAGAAGACAAGCCGCTGGAGAATGATTGCTGGAAGAAGATAGAGCCAAAATATCTATCTAGCGAAACATAGATGAGGCTTATACTACCTTCTCGGGGATTTCCGACGGCATTGTTCGTCGCTTTATGGCAATCTTTGGCGAAAGCATGCCGGCGGCAGAATAATATCGAACCGAAAGCAATCAAATAGCAGCGGCGCACGTTTACGAATGCCGCAACGACGCAGAGACAGGCGCGCAGGCTCCACACAAGGGAATACTCTCCTAACAAAAATGAAGGCTCTACAAGCCTGTCTATTGCAAAAGAATCTAGAGATCGGACATGACCATATACATAATGTCGCTAGAGATCATTCTTCCTTCTGGGAGCATCTCTAGCCAAGGTTCAGTACCTCTACTGTCCATCCTAGACAATAATGTGCTGACTCAAGGTCTATAAACCAATATAGGGAACCCTGTCCGAAGACTATGAAGCTGACGCCGCATGGAAAGCCTCCTAATTACAACTATTAGAGTATATTTGACTATTTAGTCTCAAGGCTCCCTATCGCCGTTAACAGAAGACTTCATTGTGGCAATTATATCTACAAACAGCGACCATATAGAATATTGCAGCGTCATTTTCTATCGGCGGAGCAACAGTACTCTACAGCCCAACAAACAATATTGATAAGCCATACCGAACCGTTGACGATTCGAGGAAGTCTGTGGTGCTAATAGACTTAAACTTGTCGGCACTGCTCACTGACATGAACGGGACGAACAAAGGAATAATCAACTTCAAACGCTGAAAATAATCCTAGCCGTTAGGCATTCTGAAAGATCCTAACCAAGCCGAGAGACGACAATAAAACCGAGACGTCAGAGAGAGCATAGCAGAAGAAAGAACGAAAATCACTTGGCACCGACGTCTGTCTACAGTTAACACAACTATAGCAATACTCCGTCCGGAAAGCGTGGCCCACGGACCGGCCGACCGAAGCTACCAGCTCGCACCCGCTACCGTTATCAGGGTCATGTGCCCGGAATAGGGCAAGGTGTGACACCAGAGACATCCGGGTCTCAAATCACGTCAAATATGCAAGAGGTGTCGGAGGCAAGCGAGAATCGGAACGATGTTACCGGGTATGCCACTCATATTATTAGTCCATGCCTTACCGCCATTTGGAACCAGGCCTTTTTGAGGGGGAACCAGGTTGATAGTGTATTCGAGACTGGGGTAAAACCGTTGATCAGAAGCGATGGGATATGTATAGGATACGACTAGCCGACGGTAGGCAGCCATCAGGTAGCCTTTTTTGATAACGGAATCTCCCATCGGCGGCACATGCCATGCCATGCCATGCCACGCCGTCTGCTCTCCTATACCGTACATATGATCGATGAGGGGAATGGTAAGGAAACGCAGCTACCTACAGCGTGTATCACATCCTGCTTGGCAGAAGGGTTCCTCCAATTCGGATCCCTTCGAGACCATTGAACAATCTGGCACTAAAAGAAGCTGGCGATGTCGTGTGCTCGTCACGCGCGAAACCATGCGCACCGGCGGATAGATAGGCAGATTTGGGGGGGGAATACGCCTGACTGATATAGAGAAATAGGATCTTCGCAAGCTAAGCAAGCCATCGTCTTACGTATGCTACACTACTGTGGTCTGCTGCCAGGAGCTTTGTCCAACTACACCATGCGTCTGCGACACACACACACCAGAAGCTGCAGGCCAGAAGTTGGGGATGCATGAACGTCCGCGCGGGCTGCAGGGCATCAGAAAGGGGAGAGAAGGGGGGTAGGGGGTGGGGGAAAGGCACTGGTGGGATGGAGGTGATGGTGCCAGGTGCGCTAGTTCTATATCGGGGAATGAGCAACTGGCCGTTCTGACTGGTAAGCAAATTCTGATAACGATCTGGGATGTCTGTCCTGTCCTGCCAGTTAGCGGTCACCGCCTGTTGCAAGTTTGCGAAAGAGTGTTGCAAAAGGGGGTTGAAGGGCAAGACCCTTGCCGAGACGAGGTTCCAGATGCCTCT